TGAGAACGGGGTCTAACTTACAATTTTAATCAAAGTGTACAAATTACCCAAAAGTAGTTGGCTCTGTATGTTGGAAGTTCCTTGTCACTATATACTGCAGTGCAAGTTTTCCCAATATGAGCTGCAAATGTTATTTCTATATTAAAGAGAGTACTGCAAGTTTAAATACTCTCTGAATTAACGTGACACGACTTGTTGTACACTAGTCATTCAATGCATCCTAATGGGCTTGCATCGAAAAGAACCCACTATAAGGGCCCACACAGAGCCAAAGTCGACTTGGGTTACGTGTGCAGTGTTTAACTTTTACATTTAAAAGTTCATTTCTTTATACTCCTTTTAGTGACTTTTAGCCCATAGATTGCTTGTTCACTTATTGTTGATTTCATACATTCTAGCTGGACACAAATAAAATTCACAGTTCCCATTCTACTAAAATCCAGTTAACCTTGACCCTTGGTCTACAATCACATACATGTACATAACGAAAGGAGAGCATTGACCTCTGACCTTTCAGTTCAGTTTATTTATTTAACCATAAAAATGAAAAACATGTACATACAAATGTGTAACATAGTAAACATAATACGGTAAAGGACACCCTTAGAAGCAAAAAAAGACCTTAAATTTTTAGTAAAATACCGGTCTTGGAGGCTTTTATTCCCACTTGCTCCTAGATCTAGTTCAGTAATCTAAAAGTTGATTTTATTAATTTTGAAGTGCTTGATATTGAATTAAATGAAAGGAAATGCTAGAACTGTCAAAATTGGGTTAATTCTCCTACAGGAAATCATGCAGCAAATGAGGAAAGAATCTAACATTCTGTAAAATACAGGGATGTGAGTGCAGCAAACTAAAAAAAGAGGAGATTTGCAAAGCGTAGCGAGCAGACTCATACCCAATGGCTGGGGGTCCAGGAACAAAGCCCCTAATGGGGGTCGAGGGGGCAAAGCCCCCCGAAACCAGAGGTTTTTGCATTTTAAAATGTAGAGAAAACACTATTTCATAGGGGTAAGATTATAATTTTACAATGTTTTAAACATTTAATTTTCCATATTATTTACAATATACATAATAGAGTACATAGAGCATCATTTACTAAATTTCTTCACCATTCCATATGATACCAAATCCAGAAACATCTTCTATTATGGTCTACAATAAAAAATGATTAACGTACCTAAAGTTAAGTATTTGATGCTCTAAGTATTTCTCATTTGCTAGTTCTTTACTCCAGTCATTTTTTTTTCAGTACTTTTTTGCTACTAGAAGGTAGTTCATGCATTTCAGATTTCCTTTTCTCCACTTTCTTCATCAGTTTATGTGTGTGCTCCACCCGTGCCTTGTCAGCATCTTCAATTGCTTTCTCCTTAGTTTGTTTCTTTGAAGGACAAGCAGACTTTCTGGGTACAGTTTGTGACATTCCAGACTTGTGTTCCTTTTCCTGTACATATGACTTGTATGCTGATCTCATATTCTTGCAGAGTTTGGGATTTACCTGATCTTTCAGGTAATTTTTTCTTCTGAAATATCTGATTCCTGATTTTCCACTTGCTGTTAACTCATACTTCACTGTTTGTATGGATGAAAATGTTTCAATGTGCAAGTTGGGCCTTTCAGTGTTTAGAACATTCCCCATTATACTGAAAGATGACTCCACCTGTGGTCCATGAAAGCAACTAACCAGTGCCAGTGCCACTCTTGTCATAACTGGATATTTCTCTCGTAATGAACTCCAGAATATGTCTATTCTCTCTTCTGTATTAACAATTTCTTTGTCTGTATTATACTGCCTTGCTTCCTTCTCATATTCATGAGTTTGCACATCTTTCAGAGCAAATGCCACTAATTGTGGTAGCTGGAGTAAGCGCTGGAGTGTGATTGTGTGGCCTCTACATGCTGGATCAATAGCTGAAGCACACCTCAGCAGTTTGTTGTTCACTGGCATCTTTCTCTGTAAGGTTTGACCACATTTCAGATATGCAGTCTTTAGCTTGTTCACTAGTTCACTTGCAGCAGGTCCCTGTAAATTCTCCTTGATGTACCTGACGAGGAACACCGCATTGTCAGGTAGTATGTTCTCCTCACTCACATTTACTTTATGCAAGGCTTGTGTGTTCAAGATTTCAGGTTTAATGAAACATACAAGAAAGTCCTTCAGTAAATCCTGCTGTTTGTCATTGAGTTTGTGGACAAGTGGTGTCACAGACTGAAAATACAGGACATACTTCTTGAGCATAGGAAGAATGGAGGTGTAAATGTGGAGAAGTACTTTGGTTTTACTCGGGGTATGGAACAGCTTCTTCACAATCCTCTTCTTACGGTCTTTTCCAGCCTGGGTCATTGTTTTTGTCTTATTTGACATTTTAGACTGATGTTTACAGATTTCCTTCTTTACTGATTCACTGATTGAATGTTTTTGATACATGCTATCAACAACTGGGAGATAAGTTGAACTGTCTGATCCAGACAAAAAGGGATAGTAAAAAAGTATCAGAGCATCTAGCAATCGAGATGTATCTACACAAACATCGTATACAGAAAGCCACCTATGGGGCACATATCGCTCTGGAATTGTTGCTTTGATGCCCAGTGCATCACAGATGAAACGCAAGACCTCTTTTTGGTCACTGGACCACTTGAAATCAGTATAGATGTCATTGAGAAGTCCCTCGATGTAGTTATCAAATCCATGGCAGAAGGCTTTTGCAGCATTATGTGCGTGGTGGCATGAGTCTCCATCTATGTCAAGCAACTGAGGAGCTTTCTTACTTCTAATGCGTGTTTCAAGTCCACTTTTTGAACCGCGCATGACGGCACAAGAGTCCATCAAAATAGAAACCAAGTTCTCCCATTTAAGGGAATACTTATCAAATAGAGCTACTAAATGATTGTACAGAGTCTCGCTGTTTACGGTCACTACTTTAAAAGATGACAGATGTTTTGTGACTACTTTGTTCTCCTTCTCTGAAAAATAACTGACTAGGACAGTTACAACGCGTTGATTTGTCTCACTTGTGCATTCATCAATATTCAGTGAGAAGTGAGAGGATTTCAAATCCTCAATGAGTTCTTCATGAAATGTTTTTGATAATCCATGGGTCATCTTATACGAAGCTGTAGTTCTGTCCATTGATAAATTTTCGAGCACTTGTTTATCTTTGGCAAGTTCTTGGTTAAGATGAATAAGATCATTCACGATTGAAAATGGCAGGGAATGTTCAGCTGTAAACGCAAGTATGGTTGCTTCTGCATATGCCTGTCTGTCGGGCAATGACACATTTGGCTCAGAGAGTCCACCTTTCAACTGTTGTTCATGCTTATCCAATTGTTTTTTGAACATGGGGTGAATTCCATATGTTGATGTAGTAGTCATTGGTTGTTTTTGACCTACAAGACAAACAAAAAAAAAATATATAAATAAATGAATAAATACAAAAAAGGCAAACTCATGAACAAGGTTACATTCATATACATGCACCTGCCCAAGTATCACTGTACTCACCCCAAATTCTTTGAAAATAAGTATGTTCTGTACGAAATAATGCATGACAATATATGCCAACATTTATATGTAGAAATGAACAAATCAAATTCCTGCCCACACACACACACACACACCCATCACATGAAAATTTGGGCAGCATAACACCCCCCTAGGCACTGGCCAGCAAAATCACTGATGCCATTCAAATGACATGATTTGACACATGTAACTTGAATGTACCAGTCTTATTAATAAAACTTTCCAGTATAATTATAAAAATGCATAGGCCTACAGCACAAACAAACAACAACAAAAAACACACACACACACAAGAAAACAATTTGATCAGTTAAAGGATTTTGAGGGGTCCGCGATTCTAATTTCTAAAATACAATTGTAAACTCACCTGGAAGTAAAGTATTTGCTGCTCTCAGTTTCAAAACTTTTTGGTGTGCAACAGAGTCCAAATGATCAGTCAATGAAACTCGTCCACGAGAACCATATTTGCACTCCTTATCACACACTACGCACACGGCGTAGCCAGCTTTTTTTACAAGACGGAAAGAGTGAGAAAGTTTTTGATCTTTGTGCGTGAAGTCCATCCAAGACCATTTCCATGGATTTTTAACCAGTGGATCCCGCTTATCTTCCTCCAATGATTCCGAGTCCAATTTCGTTCCTCGCTCAATAAAATTCCGATCTCGAGTTGCCATGTTGTCTCATATTTCACAGATTTTCTTTGAAAGTAATACATATTTCCAAAAGAGAACGCCGATTCTGATTGAAATATCGTAACAAAAATCAATAGCACACTGCACGAAGACATGTGAATCAATGCAAACACCGTACCGTAGATAGTATAGCGATCGAAATGCACGGTACGCCCGGCGCACGCGGCGCGCTGAGCTAGCAATACTCGATGCAGGCGCTGTACTATCTTTGAAGCAGGCGCGCGCGCGCGCTTTTGCTTTTGTATTAGTCTCGCATTCGCAGACCCTTAAAGTAATAAGTTGTCTTGGGGCAAAACGCGGATTTTTTCAATGGAGAAAATAAAAACGCGACGGGGCGATCTAAAAACGCGGAAATTCGCGGAAACGCGGAACTCTCACATCCCTGAAAATAATTGATTTTGGAAATGAGGCTGGAATGCTAATCCTAAATTTCTGCCCAGATGTTTCCTCCGGACTTGTGCCCTCCACATGCAAACCTTTGTATTGTGAACTTGAGAATAATTGATCGTACCGGAAACTATCGCACACTCTCTATTGGAGAGAAAAAAAGTGATAGTCGCAAGTTGCAAGTGACTGCCCTCAACCTATCATGCAGGGAGGACGTATGAGTGATTTTTATAACACATGCTGAATTAACAAACTCTGATTGAGGAAAGAGGATAAGGAACTGAGAGGGTGGGGGGGGGGGGTAAGAGATGAGAGGGGGAGGGGTGGGGATGAGTCTCATTTCACCTGGGAGACAAAATAAGAATATAGCATGTAGGCTAGACACCATTACTCACCATAAATATTGCGAGATTTTCTTCAGTAGTTGATCATCTTCTTAATGGCGTCCAGACACCTCCATTTGTCCGGGAGGTAGAAGGGCTCAAATATATGAGGGAAGGGCGAGTCCCAGCCGCAGACCCTCTGTATGGGGGCTTCTAGCTGCAGGAAGCACTCCTCCTGGAAAGGTAGAGCAAGGTAAAGAAAGTGGTGAGTTCTAGTGATGATGATTGTCAGACAAACCATCAAAAATATACCATGAATTTACACCCCCTTTTATGCCAAAGGGACTTTAACCCCCACCCGACCCCTCTCCCACCATTTGTTGGGGAGATACTACATCAGAGATGCCAACCTTCTTCAAAAAAAAAAAGTATTCTTAAGAGCAAAAATGTAGATGCATAACAGGCCTTAAATTTCAATATTTTTAGGGCAAGGCCACTTTTCTATAGGGCACTTTCCTATATTACAGCACAAATGGGAAGAATTTGAAAGGGCACAACAAATCTCCAAGGCCAATGAGAGGGGCATTGAGGCCAATCAAAGGGGCATCCACGGCCATGGCCTTGGTGGCCTTGGATTAATTTAAGCCCTGGCATAATACACTTACGACACAAAGCTCATGATCAGAAATTAAGAAAATCGTCACTAAAAAAAAAAAAAAAAAAAAAAAACTAAAAAACCGTAACAAAACATACAAAAAATGTACTGCCGTATTCATAGCAAAAAAACGGAACAAATACGGCAAAAACGGAACAGTTGGCATCTCTGCTACATGTAGAAGAGCACAAAGCCAGTCCCAGCCACAGACCCTCTGGATAGGGGCTTCTAGATGAAGGAAACACTCTTGGGGGTGTTTCACAAAGATCGTAAGTTGAACTTATCTCTAAGTTGGACTTAAACAATAATGGAAAGTCATCAGCATCAATGAAAATACTTTTTAAAAGTTATTATAAAAGGCATAAAATGTTGATTCAAATCATTCATATTTTTTTATATCACAGAGATTTCATGTTCTTGATGTGGAATTTATAAAAAGTCTAAAATATTTCATTTCTCGCTTTTGAATATATTTCATTTTAAGGCTACAAATGGCTCTCCATAATTTTTAAGTCCAACTAAGAGTCAAGTTCGACTTAGAATCTTTGTGAAACACCCCCTGAAAGATAAACAGCTACAGGAAGTGGTGAGTTCTAGTGATAACAATAAACAGAATTTTCCATGAAACAACCAAATTCAGAATAATAATATGCTGTTTCCTCCTGAAAAAAGTTATATGGACAAAAATAAGAACACTTTCAAAGACAACAGATACTGAACGTACAGTACTGTAGTTCTTCGTTATTAAAAACTTCAAAGAAGTAAATATGATAACAATAAACAGAATTTTCCATGAAACAACCAAAAGTCAGAATAAAAATTATATAAATAATGCTATTTTCGCCTGAAATACAGTTCCATTGACAACAATAAGAATACTTTCAAAGACAACAGTTAATAAACATACAGTACTGTTGTTCTTTGTTTTTTTTAAACCTGCAAGAAGTAAATGCCCAGCACTTAAACACTTTTTACAAAAGAGACAAAGATGCACCCAAAGCTGAGGATGCAGTATATCATAACACTACTTGTATAATATTCCAATATTCAGATTCACTGTTCTGCTGCATGTGCACAATCTCTAATACAGTCAAACCTGTCTATAGCGACCAGGCAAGGGAAACACAAAAAGTGGCCTTTGTAGACAGGTGGTCTTTGTAGACAGGTTCCTTTGGTACATGATTGAATGAGAAACCATTTTCAAGGGAAACAACAAATGTGGCCTTTGTAGACAGGTGGTCTTTGTAGACAGGTGGTCACTAAAGCAGGTTTGACTGTATTCCTAATGATTGTTTTTGACATCAGAGCTATAAATAATTTGATTCATTGTAAAAACTAAAGATGCAAATTTTAAAATAATAATAATAATATTATATGAGATTTGTAAGGCACCAAATCCGCTTGAAATAAAATGCTCACTACACACATTTTTTGCATCAACACCATGTTGCCATAGCAATCGTTCATGATAGGAACCAACTGAGTAGATATTTTTCTCATCTAGGTAGATAACGGCACAGGCAAATTAAAACAAAGCAAGATATAGGTCTGAAATTTGAACCATGAATTATTGATCCATTTTCCTTTTCCACTTAAACTGGACACCTATACGTGTAAATTTATGTAGTGCCATATGACTACAAAAGAAATCGATTTACATACGTACATGTACTTTGATGGAAAATTAGCTCAAGGTTCTGCTACAAAGCATTTACTAGATCAGCATGGTATTGTAGGGTCTGTACTGTATCTGACCCCCGGGCACACCTCTATGATACTCTTTTCACACTTGTTTTGCTTAGCCTCATACTTTGCTTAACCCCGGACTAAGCGCCTACCCCGGAATAAGAAAATTCATGCTGTTCTCACTGCAAATCTTTAGCCCCGTACTACATGTAGCTGTATAGCGTGAACGTTCATTAATTCGGTCCGTTGCATAGTACCGGACTATTTTTCGTTTCTGTTCTCATTCATTTGCTAAGCACCACAATTGCGGAGTTAGCACCACAGTTGCGAGGTGAGCCCTGCTTTTTTGCAGGGCCAGCTAACCCCGTACTATAGGTGGGGCTAGTCCACGTTGGTAATTACGTGTCTGAACAGAAATTGGAATAAGCTTAACCCTGGGACTATAGGTGGGGCTAAGGCCCACTTTAACCCTACCTCTAGTCCGGGGTTAAGCAAATTTGTGCCAGTGTGAAAACAGTATTAATGAGCTACATGTACACCACATTGACAACAGATTGGACAACAATTGATATTTATCCTGAATGGCTGAGGATTGGTTGGTTAAGGTTTGGCAGCCGGTGTGACTGAGGTTTCATCTAGATACACATTGGGTGCTTCTCCATTAGCCTGAAGAACATTGAGCTTGAGATATAAGTTCGTAGATACTGTCTGCACATGGGCAGATAAAGGCATTGAAGCAAAATTAATAAAGCGCACATACATGTAGATGAACATTGGATACTTGTTCATTAAAGTTATGTTACCATTATTCATGTATGCACTGACCGTACATTCTGTGATATACATGTACATATGTACAGGTGGATTCTTCTGAAACAAAAGTTATTCATGTAGCACCTCCATATTCTACTATGGCAGTGATTAATCACAAAGACACAAAATTAAAGTGGGACTTCTGGGCCTCGTTGCATAAAACTTACCATCGATGGTAACTTTGCCATCAATGGCAACTGCCATGGTAACAGGGCTCAACAGCCAATCAAAATCAAGGTTTCCATGGCAGTTACCCATGATGGCAAAGTTACCATCAATGGTAAGTTTTGTGCAACGGGGCCCAGGTCTGTGGATATGCGGGGTAATTTTTACCATGTCAACGCTTCCGAAGGAAATAGACGGAGTTGGGCAAGGCATATTTGATCTGAGAATTTACTTAAGCCTCAGAGAGCATTGTCACAATCCCAAGCGTGTCTTCATCAATAAGTTACGAAGAAACCCTAGCTTACTCGAGAGAAATAGCTCAAGCCCCTATTTAGAGCACAAACATAAAAAGTAGACTACTTCAGGTTAATGTAGATTTTTTTCTAACAATAGGCTACTTCAAATATTTGGCAAAATAAAGATGAGCTGAATGATAATTAGATACCAGGGTGCGCTAGTGTCATTGATGTATTAGTATATACTGTAAATGATGCATCTGTACACAAAGAACAAACAAAGGCATCGATAAACATCCCCTAATGTCAATTTACTCTTCCCTCCCATGTACATGTAACATTAGTGTATGCAGTATAAACATAAAAAGATGTCTGCCTTGACAAATACATGTCATACTGAGGAAGTGACATATATAGTGGGATAACATCAAGTTTAATTTCAGTTGAAACAAGTATAAAGCAGTTCTAGCTAATGATCGATAACAGTATAATTATCTATCATAGGTGCCTACAACACCAATAATATTTGGTCAAGAACTTAGGATAACATCAGGGTCAATTCCTAGAAATAATTTGATGGACAAGATGTGCATATTTTTTTATTATTTATCTATTTATTTATTTATTTATTTATTTATTTATTTATTTATTTATTTTTTTATTTATTTATTTTTTTTTTTTGGGGGGGGGGGGGGATTTTATCATATATTTTGTGAATGCTCTAACTGTATGTACACATATTCAAGGAAGATCAAAGTTTACATTTGCAGACTGAGATAGTTTCTTCCTAGCTAAATGCATGCTGTTAATTCTATTATTAAGGTAATCCTAACTTCCTCTGTTTTGATAATGAATTAATGATGGAAAATAAATTCTCAAGGTAAAAATCATACCAAAGTGAATGATTATACAAGCAGTCCCAAACATACAGTGAGTTGCACTTTTTAATGAAATTTGATTTCCTCTGTACGTATTCATTCAATTCATATTAATGTAATGGTAATGGTAATGCTTTTATTAAAAATTCATTTGCAGCCAGATGGCTGAATTGCAGAACTTTGTACATTGTAAAAACATAAATATTTATACAAACATAAATCGTATTAAGGCATATCACGCAATGAGTGCTCATGCATACATATACAGACTATAAAAAGTTAAATCAGAGCCCTGTGTCATAAACCTGTGATCAATAACAACTGCTCAATTTCAATGACAAACATGCTCGCAACCAATCAAATACCGTGATTTCAGTAGCTTATTGTAACTTGTTATTGATGACAAGTTTCATGATACGGGGACCTGGAGTCCCTTCCAAACAGGTTGGTGTGGAGCCCTGTCGGTGCCTAAGCATTTGCTCCGGCAACAACTGATTCAGACTTTAAGATTAGGGTTGCCATTAGGTTTAGGGTTAGGGTTAGGGTTAGTTAGTTATAGTGTTGGGTCCGGGTTGAAGTTACACATTCCATAGGTGTAGGAAATTACCACAGAACAATGATTGTCGTAGAGCCAGCCCTACAACGCAAATTTCAAACATTATGTTGCGTCAAAGTTGACGTCAACATGAAATAGTCCCTTGAATGTCGAGAGCCTCGCAAAAGCTTTTCAAAAGTGCACTCCCCTTTGTTCTTCTACTGCATGTTTTGTTACAGGGAAACATCCTCTTGTAATGCATTACGTGACGGACCTGGCAAGATGATTTCCTGAACATACTCCTTCCATCCACTTTACATGAGATATGTAAAGTCTGTAAGAGCTACTAGAAGAGCATTTAATGAAAGCCATTGATCCTATAGGCCTGTCTTCATTAGCTCAAGTTTACCAAATTACCCACTATTTTAACTATCCCGATTTCAAATTAACCAGTTGGTTTGAGTCTTCATAAGCCCGCAGTTGCAATTAGCGGGATATTTGGTCGAGAAAATATCCCGAGAGATCTTGGTCTTGTTTCCAAAATATCCCGCTATTTGGAAAATAGAGGGCTAATTTGCGCATGTCAGAACTAGTTTGTGATGAGCGTATCAGTCTGGTGAAGTCGTAATTTCGAGCTTCGGGATAATATCCAGAGTCTGAAAATGGTAGGTTACATGTATTTGGCAAACTCGAGCTGATGAGGACAGGCCTAAAGTTACACTGTCCTGGCTCTTGACAGATGATATCTTCCAAGTGTTTGGGGAAAACATGGTGCAATCATATCATGAGTGATGTCGAGTGTTGAAACAGAAAGGGGAAAACCACATTCAAGTGTTCCTTCTTCCTTCTCTACTTGTCTCCCAAGAATAAGTGTTAATTCTGCGTAGATTATCAATTTTCTGATACATGTTGATACAGATGCAGGGGGCATGATGGCTCAGTGGTAGAGCAATGGTCTCGTAACGGGTAGGTCCCGTGTTCAAAACCAGGCGATGCGCTAGTGCCCTTTGGTAAGGCATTTACCGAGCCTCTCGAAGAGGACTTACATGTAAAGCTTAAAGCAAACACATGCTTTCTTAACAGTCAGGTAAAACAAACAAACAGGTACCTGTATTTTTCTGGTGGAATTATAGTTTCCACTGTGATAAAATGACAGAATAACTCCACATTAAACTCACTTTTTTATGTTTAAAGGTGAAATTCAAAGAAGATCACAAATATGTCAACTAATGTATCACTAGAAACTGGTAGGCTAACAGATGGCCATCGTACAAGTTTTAGGTCAACTACATATCGGGTTATTTATAACAATACAAATATATACAACCACCTCCATAGCAGCTGGGATATACGAGAGATTCGCCGGAAAATAACGATGTCTTAATGACGTCACTATATGGACCAACACTGCCCAAGCAGACGACATCCCATAGAGAATGAACATAATTGCAAAGCTATTATTTCTCAAATTATAATGAGTTTAGTGTATATAAATGTAATGGCATGTCAAACTATTCAAAAGGGGATATGACCCGATTCTGATAACAAAAATCTTTTGCTTGTAAATACACAGGATAGGGATTAAATAACAATAAAAGAAACCAGACTTTCAAATTGAAAACCCCCCGGAATCATATCAAGGACGGCATTTGTTCCCTCTTGAAACGCCGAACATACCCCGGAGTGTGCACCTGAATATACAATGGCGTCTTATTTTGTTTACAATCGACAGATTCCCTTATTTTTGTATCGTTGCATTTGACATCAAAATGAAACCATGCGCGGGGTTTAGAGTGAGGCAATAGATTATAGATTTAGCCTGACGGTAGTGAAGTAAGAGAAAGAACTCAAGAGAAGATGAAAACACAGGCACTGAAAATGTGTGAGATGTCATGGGACATCGTCTGCTTGTGCAAGTCATGTCCATACTGTGATCTCACACATCTCAGCAGCGTTCGGAGAGCTCTTCAGGTGCTATGCCGGGGCTGTATTTAAGCGTTTCGTAAATTATAATAATCATTACTTCGAATGTTTCCAAGCATTGAATTTTGTTAACCTTGTTGAATCAAAGTTTCAACTTTGCAATAATGAAAATAAAGTTAGTTTTTAAAATCAATGAATATCTACTTTAAGAAAGTTTCTAAATAGCCATTTTAACAACGACAAATTGTGCATCCCTGAATTTCATGGGTACTGTATGCTAGCGGTAAGGGGATATCCTTTCAAGGACATAACATTTTCATATCCCCCCCTTCAATCACAGTATATTTCGTATTTATCTCTATTTTTATTTTTTGCAAAATGACAGAAACTGCTTCGGAGGTATCTCCTCGGAGGTATTTCCATTGTATTGTATACTTGTATCTACTAAACCTCACTATGTGACACTTTTGAGGTGATTAAACTTCACGATGTTACCCCCTTGTTTTTGTTCTCGTCATTTTGCATACAATGATAATATCAATTGTTTTAGAGACACAAAGGAGAAGAGAGAGAGAGAGAGAGAGAAAGAGAAAGAGAGAGAGGAAGAGAGAGAGAGAGAGAGGGAGAGAGAGAGAGATAGAGAGAGAGAGCGAGAGAGAGAGAGAGAGAGCGAAAGAGAGAGAGAGAGAGAGAGAGAGAATGAGCAATGTAGCGTCCTTTGAACTTGCTACTCTATCCAAACAATGTTATCGCTTCTCTGCGGTGGCTTCAAAATATTTCAAACCGGGAGATGAAACAAACTTGAAGGTTTTATAATTGTTAGGTTATCTTGTCGAAGTGACCTTTAAATAATATTTGTTTGATAGCAGTTCATTACCAAACAAACCATGAGGAAACCACAATGTAACTAGGAGTTCATGATTTTCAAAATACAGGGCTGATGTCAAATGTTTTTCAAAGCATGTGATGTTTTACTTGTAAATAGGTGATTAAAATAATTGCTGGGATTGCTGTTCTCATCACACGAGTGATTAAAAAAAAAGAGGGGTTAAAAAAAAATGAAAAGCTTTGGAACATGGAATATAGGCTCGAGGTTGCATGACGTCAACTCCCTGGTCACTGTTGTTGACATTTTTAATGTCTCCATTATGTCATACTACAGTCAAACCTGCTTTAGTGATCACCTGTCTACAAAGACCACACAACTTGGTAAAGGTTTGTATTGTAAGAAGTGGATGTGCAGTACTTTATCCACATTTCATAGCAAATATATTCAAATATATACCTCATTTTAAGATTCTTTACTAATCCTGTCTTCTGATTGGTTGAAAATGCAGTCATGTTCTTAACCATGCCCGCTAATTGAAATTCATAGTCATTTTTCCCGGCTCTACCGGTTTATATCCATTTTTCATAGCACTTTTTCCATGGCTGTGAAACGTGACGTCATTTTGCTGCGATCCCCATTTTGGTTTACGTGTTACCGTATAAGTTTCTTTTGTGCGATGACCGATGCGCAATACCGTTAACGGTGTTTGAGTGCAATTCGATTTTGGTCGCTGCATTCAGGCGACGAATCTACCAATCCACGCAGCGCAGACGACCGATCGCCATTTTGTGTACTAGTCTCGATCGCAAAATACTGGGTGAGTAAAATAAATGGGTGAGTCAACATTTTCCTTTTTTTCGGTATATAAAATATATATTGACTGCTTTTAATATTCGAGGCATAGTTGTTTCTATAGGGTCTCGGGAAACTCACAACCTGCTATGACCCCGCGGCGCAAGCGCCTTGGGGTCATAGCAGGTTGTGAGTTTCCCTTGACTCTATAGAAACCACTATGCCTCTCAAAGGAGTCAATATATCCTTAATATTGGCATGACCATGCTCCAATATTTGAGGCACACAATTGCCATTGATACTTAAGTGAAAGCAGATTATACAAGGATAATCTTTATGAATGAATCAATGAACACTTGGAATAACGTTGAAGGTTGGGATATTTTCTCACCTGTACACTGGAGGCAATCTCTGATGCAAACCCTCCTGTGATTGGTGCTTCGTGCGCAACCAGTAGTCTACCAGTCTTCTCTACCGACTGCAATACAAGATACCATAAACAATTGGATGAAAACATGATTATTTACCACTCTTTTTGTCATGACCTCACTAAAAAATAGCCCAAAGAGACCCCCCCCCCCCCCCCCCCCCCCCGAAAAAACAAAAAATCCAAAGCAAACAAACAAAAGAAATTTAAAAAAAATTATAAAAAAAAATTAAAGCTAAATTAAAAAAGAAAATATATCTAAAGATATATTGAGTGTTGTTTAGCGGTTGAGAATGAAAAGAGTGTTATTGTTAACTCTGTGTTAGAGGGTATGAGATCAGGTAACACCTTTCTTGCTCGATGCAGAAAATATCATAAGACCTTTTTAACAATAAAAGATAATTATAAAGAGTCGTTTGTACAGGCTTCATAGTAACATGAAGGTCAATGAAATAAGGTCGCATGAAGATTATTCAGCTGTCAATCGATGATGGCATATCCGATGAATGTTGACACTCTCTCGTTTGCTTAAATCAATAAAATTCAATTAATCTGAAGTGAAGAGAGGCATTGTGCACGAGACATTATATCAATTATCATTTCAAACAAATTAGAATCTTTATTTTATATGAAAATTTGATAAATTATTATGAGATGGATGAATGGATACCAATTCTCAACAATTTAAATATTTTGTTTGTTTGTTTTTTAGAAAATGTTTTATTGAATAATCTCTGCATTATTGAATCACAGTAATCAAAATCTAAGCGTGATATTGGGAAGGAACTATATATATATATATATATATATGCAATATGCATGTAAATGTACACAGTGCAAAATTACACATTTAAGAGAGAGAGAGGGGGGGAGGGAGGGAGGGAGGGAGGGAGGGAGAGAGAGAAAGAGAGAGAGAAAGGGAGAGAGATGGGAAGAGGTGGGAAGAGAGAGAGAGAGAGAGAGAGAGAGAGAGAGAGGGGAGAGGGGGGGGGGGGGGGGGGGGGGGGGGGAAAGAGGGGGAGATAGATAGAGGAGAGAGAGAGAGGAAGAGAGAGAATAAAAGAGAGAGATGTACAGAGAGAAATGTACTATGGAAACTATGGAAGACTGGGAAAGAGAAGTAACAAAGGTGTGGTCAGACCAATGTAATTAAAATACAGAAGCTAAAGGAGAGTGTTAAAAAACACTGAATTTCTACCAAATGTACAAGTGTACAAATAAAGCACAAAAGGGTACTTTTAAGAGGCGTTCATTGAATATATCCGTCTGTTCAGAGGGGATTTTCGGGGAGGGGGGGGGGGGGGGTAATTGTCCTTCGGCTGGTTGCCCGGAGGGGGGGGGGGGGGGGGGGGGGGTAATTGTCTTAGGTCTTAGGGGTGAATTTTTAAGGGGTTGGGGTAATTGTCCCTTGGGGGTAGTTTTCTGGGTGTTGATTGTCCACTGAGGGGGTAATTATCCTGATACATTTAATATCAATTTAATAATAATAATGATAATAATAATAATAGCCTAATAGTCCACTCCAAATTTTATTAAACCGAAACGGAAATTCTTTTTGCCCAATCGATCGTGAGCCCGGCAGCCACTGAGCAGCGCCAGAAGAAGAAGACCAATTTGATCTACTTGTTAATACATGAAGGTCTTGTATTATCTCATTCTGTAAATGTCAGCCAATATCAACAGTCCGCTTGAGGCTTCAAAACAACGAAAACTGTTTTTCTCACCATTCATCATTCACGTTCTTGGGCCCCATGCCAATAACGTCTTTATATAAAACAATGGTCTTCAATTGTTACCTCTAGGAGCACATTGTTTTGATGCCCATGTTTGTAAATTTGAGGCCTTCTAAGCTACTGGGTGTTGTGGAATGCACCTGCAATTGATTGTCTTTGGTAGTTGGGTATTAAATTGTCACTTTGCAGAACATAAAATTGGCAAATGGTGCAGTTTGTTTAAATACACGCATAGTGGATCTCTCAAGATTTTGCACATTCTTCCGATCATGATTTTTTTTTTTAAAGAGAGAGAGGGGAAAGAGAGAGAGAGGGGAAAGAGGGAGAAGAGAGAGAGAGAGAGAGAAATAGAGAGAGAAAGAAAGAGTGAAACAGATAGAGAGAAGGACATACATGTAGAGGGAAAGAAAGAGACAGCAATTTCAAGCTATTAACTAAATCAAAACAAAAACATATTTACATACCACAAAACCATTATAATTCTTATCACATCTCGATAAAACAAAGGAAGCCAGGGTCAACAGAATAAACAATAGAGAATCTATTTCAAGTAATGTAAATAGCGTCAATATCACTTTGAGGGCTGCCGGTAGGGTTTACTTTAACAGCGGCAATATAGAGAAATGTACACAGCATCAATATCACATTGAGGACTGCCTATAGGATTTACATGTCACATGCCCTGACCTCACTGCAATCTCATATCACATTAGTTAGGTTCACACGAAAGTCTGTTCACTTAAAGTTTAGCTCGTAGATTCAACACTGAGGCTATCATGTGGTTACGGACCGTGGAGACATACTCGCAGTTTCAAAAACTTGAAGTTTATTTAGAGTTTTAAACCCTGAGTGATCTTATGGTTGATAGGAAAACTAAGACCACTGGAGAATTCTCACTTGAGGATGTGTATGCAATTCATGTCATCGTGTTGCCAGCTTGTACCGTAGTCGCAATGACTGCTTTGCCCAGCTTACCCGGCTGGTAGTTTGAACCTTAGAGCCGTCATTTTGGTACCATGTAAATCAACGTCTTTGTTTAAAAGGGAGTTGTTAAATAAAATTGTTAAAAAGGGGAAAGAATGAAGGAGGAAGGAGGAAGTGGGAAGGGGAAAGGGGAAAGGAAGAAGGGGTGGAGTTGTTCACCTTGGATGAGGGGAGGGGGGAGAGGGCGAGCGGTAGGGAGAAGGGGAGGGGGGAGATGTGGGATGGGGTATTGGGAAGCAGGAAACAGAAAGGGAAGGAGGTAGCATTATTCACCTTGATTATAGTAGCCCTGTCCCAGGTTAAGATGGTGACAAGGTCAATTGGGGAGGGGGCAGGGTAATGAGGAAGGAGGGAAAGGGGGGGGGGCAGGTGGAATGGGGGTAGTGGGGAAAAGAGGGGGAAACAGAGAGGGAATGAGGTAGCATTGTTCACCTTGATTATAGTATCCTTGTCCCAGGGTAAGATGGTGACCATGTCATTGGGGAGGGGGCAGGGTAACGGGGGAAGGAGGGAGAAGGGAAGGGGAAGAGAGAAAACAGAAAGGAGAAGGAGGTAGCATTGTTCACCTTGATTATAGTATCTTTGTCCCATGGTAAGATGGTAACACTGTTGATGGGGGAGGGGGTAGGGTAACAGGGGAAGGAGAGAGAAGGGAAGGGGGAGAGGTAGAATGGAGGGAGAAGGGAAAAGAGGGGGAAACAGAAACGGAAAGGAGGTAGCATTGTTCACCTTGATTATAGTATCCTTGTCCCATGGTATTAAGATGGTGACAAGGTTAAAGGGGAAGTCCACCCTGAAATTAAGTTAGTTTTAATAGGAGTAGAAAAATGAGAGAAACAAGTCAGTGAAAGTTTGAGCAAATTCCGATTAAAAATAAGGAAGTTAGGATTTTTGAAGTTGTGATCAATCAAACACAAATTGGCAACTCTATGACGTATCATGCGAGCTCAACTTCCATTTGCTCAGTACTAAAAAAATCTAAAATTTTCATTTTCCCTCAAGAAAAATTTCAACCATACATGCACCCTAAATATAATAATTGCAAATATGTTTCTATACTCCCCCTGCAAGGAACAAATATATATTCTGTCATCAATAACGAAGAAAACATGATTTTATGGAATATTATGCACAAAGCAAATGAAGGAGAGCTCGTATAATAAGTCACAGAGTTGCCAATTTGTATTTGATTGATCACAACTTCAATAATTCATAACTTTCTTATTTTCATTCAGAATTTGCTCAAACTTTCACTCACCTGATTTTCTTATTATTCTGCCTCTATCGAAACAAACTTATTTTGGGGATGGACTTTCCCTTTAATAGGGGAGGGGGCAGGGTAATGGGGGAAGGAGGGAGAAGGGAAGGAGAAGAGGGGAAACAGAGAGGGAAGGGGAACATTTGTTCAGCTCAACTACCGGTATATTATGCTTGTCCCATGGTATTAAGATGGTAATAAGGTTGATGGGGAAGGGCAGGGTAACGGGGGTAGGAGGGAGAAGAGGGAGAGGGGGAACGGACAGGAGAGGGGGAAACAGGAAGGGGAAGGAGGTTTACCTTGATTATAGTATCTTTGTCCCAGGGTAAGATGGTGACCAGGTCGATGAGCTCACAGCTCACTCCAAGCTTCTCTTGGGCCATCTGAGCAACCTCCCTCAGGACATGTATCTGGGTACCCCATCCTACCAGGGTCACATCACTGCCTGCAAAAAGAAAATAACAATCACTTGAGACTTCGGTGGTAAGTGCTTTATAAGCACCGTTTTTATTATTATATTATTATTATTATCATATAATATGTAATGGCCTTCAGAAGGATACAAGGGTATTTCTCAGAAACCGAATGAAAAACATATTGCATAAGTCAGCATGAGTAAAATATTCTCAAAGCGAGAGCGATATACCCTAGTGTCTAACAAAAGAAAAGCCATTCAATATTATTATTATTAATTGTATAAAACCTACATGTAGTATCTCAATTCTTACCATAACATCCTTATGTTTTGTATTAACTTGCACACACACAGCAAATTTTTCTTGTTAGTCCTTATCCATATTTAGCAAAGGTTGCGCACATATATCCATTGTCTTAGCCTGAGCGTATTGCAAGCACATTCACCTTTTTTTAAACTCATTTACGCACACCAAATCATGGGATTTTGACAATCTACTGCACAATCATCCTGGTACTTCTGCTCAAAGAGCAAGATATCACAATTTTTCTGGTTGTCTCAAAACCTTTATACAACTAATAATCATATAATATTGAAGAGCCTTGACAGGGATTCAAGGGTACATCAAACAAGATTTTAACAATATCTTCAACATGATCTTCTCATACCTCTTGTAAGCCAAAGATTGCATGTTGACCTGAATCTATACGCCCAGTGAAAATAGCATTGAGCAAATGCATTGTGGATCAGGCCATCTTTGGTTTGCAGCAGGTAGGGGGAGATCCCGTAGTTGGAGAGGACATTAATATAAAATCTGCCAAATTCTGGACTAAGGGCGAGTTGGATCACTATGATGATCATATTATTCTCCATATAGGGTCATGATCAATTTTTAATAGATGTACATGAAGTTGCTTTTATGTCTTGCAATGCCACTTCTTTTCTCCAATATAAGTAAACACTTCCACATTCTTTAATTGTGTGATCCAATAATTTCTCATGTTAAATGTGTAAGAAATGTTTTGTTACTTTTGTTTTGAATGGATAAGTGAAACATAACATTATCTCAGCTGCAGCAAATGAATTTGATTTGCCTATTTGAGGCTCTCCTTACAGGGACTGCCAGTATGACTAGCTGTCAGCAATTATATGTTGATAGCTGAAGTGGCTATTGTTCGCAACTGCACAATATATACACAAAACAAAACAAAACAAAACAATCTTCCTGAAAATGACATACATGTAAGTGAAAGCACTTCATATATGTGGGTATATGGGACTAAGCATACACTTGTGCCATTATAAGTTGGTCCAAACTACACTTTAATCTGTTATGTTTGGAATATGAAGACACTTCACAGGTGATCCTCCTTTTCATTACTACTTTGATAAACTTCAAAATTTTGAGAGCTACACAATCATTCCAGGGGGTGTTTCACAAAGATCCTAAGTTGAACTTATCTCTAAGTTGGACTTAAAAATTATGGAAAGCCATTAGCATCTTTGAAAATAATTTGTAAAAGTTAGTTTGAAAGGCATTAATTGTTTATTCAAATCATTCATATTTTCTATCATCAAGGAGATTTCATGTTCTGGATGCAGAATTTATAAAAAGTCTAAAATACTTGAATTTCTGCTTTTGAATATATTTCATTTTAAGACTCCAATGGCTGTCCATAATTTTTAACTTAGTGTTAAGTTCTACTTGGGATCTTTGTGAAACACCCCCCAGGGCACCGTTGCATAAAATTTACCACTGATGGTAACTTTGCCATCAATATTAACAACTATGACAACATCAGTTAACAGCCAAACAAATCAAGGTTTTCATGGAAGCTACCATTAATGGCAAAGTTACCATCATCAATGTTAAATTTGCGCAATGGAACCCGGAACTCAAACTGCTCTTTAAAATGATAGTTTATAACTTCTCTATGTCATTTCTTTATCCTTTCATAACAAATCTCAACAAAACAGGGAAAAAAATTTGACTTAGATTTGTGTTTACACCTTTAATATGCAAGACACAAATGACATGTCAGTAAAGTTTGTAACACTCCAAATACATGTAGTTAAGACCCAGTCAAGGATATACCTGACAAAGTTTTGTACCTGCAATGTCAATATATACAATTACAGTGTACAAGGATATCATGTTTTGTCTTAATAACAATTACTACAGCAACAACAGTGGGTTTTTTGTACAGCACTCATGTCTGTTTACATTAGTCAATGTCAATTACGAAATAAGAAATATGCAACACTTCTTATGCAACACTTCATTTTCTAACCAAACATAATTTTCAAACAAAAAAGTGATTTGTGTCTGACAAGTGCTGAATTAGTCAAACACTTAATTTTTTAACTATGGTAAACATAATTTTTTTAATGAAAACGGTGTGTGTCGGACAAGTGCTAAATATATGCTTAATCTATTAACCAAACATGAGATATTATCATGTGAAAGAGCCACATGTTTGCATCTAATCTATAATGAATGACAGGGAATTGACTTAGCTGTATCTTTTCTGAAGCCTCGTTCACAATTTAAACAAGTTAAACCGCTGAGGCAAAATAATTTGCTTCATATTTCTGATTCTCTTAAAGGTACTACACTGTAGGTCCTACATGTATTTGCAGGCCAAAAAATGAAAAGGTTAAATTCCAACGGCATTTGAAAGATAATACTGATTTTAACAAAAGGGCTTGACAAAAAAAAATTGTGGGAAAATAAGAACCCCGGTACCATTAAATGTTGAATCAAATTTAACAAGCGTGCTCGTTTAATTAAATAGTCTAATTTTCAGACCCTTGTACCGAATGGTCATGAGTTTTGTGTCGCGTAAAGATTCAATCAGTTTAATTTTGGCTATTACAAGAAGTGGGTTATCGACGTTGACAAATGCTCATGTACATGTACTCTTTTAAGCTCATTTTATGTATATTATTACCAAGAAAAAAAGAAGTCAGTCAGTCACTCAATAGTGTCCGACAGTGAAGTCTAGAAAGTAAACGGGTTTCCTTGCATTATTTGAATACTAGGACACTGCTAACGTTTAAATTTCACAGATAGGGCATACGTGACATATTCATAATTCCTGCAAGTTATACAGAATTTGATGTTGGCTGCAAAAGGGATACACTACCTTTAAGATACATACATACATTTTGCGCAGCTACTTTAGAATTTGATGTTGGTTGCAAAAGGGACACACTACCTTTAAGATACATACATGTACGTACATTGTGCGCAGCTACTTTATTAACCAACACGCACCATTTAAACGTTTTTTTAAAACAGTTGTGATTTATCACATCGTGAGTGAACGAACCCTTGTGTTGGCTCTTGTGTCGATTTTTGTGATAGCGATTATTTTTTTGTATCAATGTCATTGCACACACCCTATCCCAATATATCAATTAGACATCACACCCACACTTACTGTACAAACACATCTTTAGTAGCACAGAGATAACAAACAAAATAATACCAAAAATGTCATATTTTGCTCATGTACCGTAAATGCTATTGTTATATTTTGACAGGAGCAATTATGTCGGAAAATCTTTGAAGTCGAAATCACTTATTTAATCTTTCTATCTGTAATTGTAGTTCACATATATTCTCTCAGTGATTATGTAGCAAAGTTCACTTGATGACATAAAACCTATGACATTGCTGGAGCCTTGTTACAGGTACTACACTCAAACCTACTGTAGTGACAACCTGTCTACAAAGACCACCTGTTTACAAAGACCACATTTTTGTTTCCCTTGAAAATGGTTTCTCTTTGAAACATGTACTAAAGGATCCTGTCTACAAAAACCACATTTTTGTTCCCCTTGAAAATGGTTTCTCATTGAAACATGTACTGATAAAAGGAACCTGTCTACAAAGACCACTTTTTGTGTTTCCCTCGGCGGTCGCTATAGACAGGTTTGACAGTGGGCAGGTCCAAGCTACATGTATTTGGAATGTGACGTACGGGACATTTAGAGACTTTAAACAAGAAATAACAACAGATGAAATTATTTATATGGCTATCTTTTGGTATGAGTCTGTGGCTATTATGGGCTAGTTCATTTATGGAAAGTTTTAGTTCTGACCAATTTTTTAATTACATTTAAAATTAATTAAAAAATTGGTCAGAACTAAAACTTTCCACAAATGAACTAGCCCATAATAGCCACAGACTCATACCAAAAGATAGCCATATAAATAATTTCATCTGTTGTTATTTCTTGTTTAAAGTCTCTAAATGTCCCGTACGTCACAATCCAAATAGCTTAGACCTGCCCCAGTACATGTACATACTAAACCTTTAGAACAGTCTTTAGATCATATATGTCTTCATTGTGAGCTTAATATGTTAGGAACAAAATGATTTTTTTTTTTAATCAGGTAAAATGGCCACTGTTATTGAGCTACAAGAATTTGAAATCCATTTATTTATACAATAAATGTTTTTTTAATTCATACTGAAGAAATAATAATCCTATGATTTGTCTGTTCCGAGCAAGAAGGGCATTAATTCATATCCTTCTATTAAAAGTTATCACCATACCGGCTCCAAACATATGAGGAGATGCAATTCAAGCAGAGTTTTGTACTCTTGCCACCACCCATATAATCTAGCTTCCTATCATCGTTTAAACTATTTTGTAGATAAGATGATAGCAAGTTTTGAATCATACTTCACGAGAAATGCTTTGAAGTAATAAAGGTCAATCTACTCTTCATCTAAGCAAAATTGGGAAGACCGTAATCTGAGAAAAACATTGATGAAAAAAAGATAGGTGACAAAACCAATCCTAACCAACTCGAATGAAATTGGACAACGAAAAAGAAAAATGCTTTTACGGTAAAGCTATGGATGTGTTCTGTAAATTTTGGGGTCAAGGGTTAAAGTTCATCATATTAACCTGTTACTGGGTTTTCCCTGTATTAAGCCTGTGGGAATTAGAGAATTCAGTAGTCGATGGGTTAAGACTTACCTTCTTGTAGTACTTCTGCTTTTGACAATGGAATCATGTAATCCTTGACTGGGACTTGCTCAACTGTAACACATCAAGAGAGAAGCAGAGAGAGAAAGAGAGAGAGAGAGAGAAAGAGGGAGAGAGAGAAGAGAGAGAGAGAAGAGAGAGAGAGACAGACAGACAGACAGAGAGAGTGACAGAGAGAGAGAGAGAGAGAGAGAGAGAGACAGAGACAGACAGACAGAGACAGGGAGAATGAAAGAATTTAAATTGGGAAAGAAATGACAAAAATATCAAAATAATATATAGTATATGATGGATATATAACACATATGTGTCACTGATACCTACGCCCAGGTGGAGATCGATAGCAAATGTAGATTAAGCACACATATTGTGGGCTCTCATGAGGAATTCGACACCATTCGGGTGTGTACCCAATAACAGGTGCTGTCAATCCTCAAGATTAGCCTTCAGTTTGTTTACCAACAGGTCTGATGTAATGCTCTGAATGTTCCACCAATCGCCGCATATGGTAAAGTCATTATCTTACATTTCCCTTATCGAAGACCATATGGGAGACTATGGGTTATATCTTGATGGGATCACAGGTTTGCTGCGTGCGAGAATTGTACACCCATTAGTTTTATTTCCACCAAGTCTGGTGTCAGCGAATTATGACCTACTGCACATGGAAACTGACGACCCTTTCCCTTTAAGATAGGGATACTCACCAGCTGCACGATAGAGTACTTTAGGTTCAAAGAAGATACATGGATTTGGGTCTCGTATGCAAGACAGTAACAGGCCCTTGGCTTGGATGGGACTACGTGGGATTACAACCTGAATGGAAGAGTGATAGAAAGAGAGCGTGAGCGCAAGAGAGAAGGAGAGAGGGGGACAGAGAGAGAGAGAGAGAGAGAGAGAGGACAAAAGAGTGAGAGAGAGATACAGAGATACAGAGAGAAAGAGAGCGTGAGAGCAAGAGATAAAGAGAAAGGGGGACAGAGAGAGAGAGAGAGAGTAACAGCGAAAGAAAAGAGAGAGAGAGAGAGAGAGAGAGAGAGAGCAAGATGGTGAAATATGGAGATAGAGAGATTAGAGAAAGGGGGACAGAGAGAGAGAGAGAGTAACAGAGAAAGAAAAGAGAGAGAGAGAGAGAGCAAGATGGTGAAATATGGAGATAGAGAGATTAGAGAAAGGGGGACAGAGAGAGAGAGAGAGTAACAGAGAAAGAAAAGAGAGAGAGAGAGAGAGAGCAAGATGGTGAAATATGGAGATAGAGAGATTAGAGAAAGGGGGACAGAGAGAGAGAGAGAGAGAGTAACAGAGAAAGAAAAGAGAGAGAGAGAGAGCAAGATGGTGAAATATGGAGATAGAGATTAGAGAAAGGGGGACACAGAGAGAGAGAGAGTAACAGAGAAAGAAAAGAGAGAGAGAGAGAGAGAGAGAGAGCAAGATGGTGAAATATGGAGATAGAGAGATTAGAAAAAGGATAAGAGACAGACAGACAGGCAGAGAGAAAGAAATGAAGTAATGAAAATCACTACAAATCAGTATATCCTAAGTTGATGGCAAAGCAGGTACCAAGATGGTGAACACCCAGCATATAGCAGGGTGGGGAAGCAGCAATGTAGCTGGGTCAGTTTATGAAAAATATGCTTTGCAACAAAAGGTGGGTTTGAAATCAAACTTGGACAGATGCTGACTGGGCAAATGGAGATTTTTGTTTTTGCAGCACCCTGTACAGTACATTGTCTTTCCTTTCTGTTCAATTTTTTTATCACACTAATCTAAGATGAATTCCTGTGTGGAACAGCTGGATCAATAAACTATAAATTATGAATTACAAAGGGTTAGGAAGCTATATTTAGCGCAGGAATTATTTCTTAAGGCTTGTTCAGATATGACTAGTCAGACAGCCGCAAAAAGCTAGATCCTCCGTTTTTTACGTGCAAATTAATTACATCAGTGTGAGCAACATAGGTCCTGCGTGCACTCAATGAGCTCTGTCTTATATGCTACAAAAACATAACGTGTATTACACTCTACGTCAGCACAAAAATCCATCACATTTTTTAGCCGTGTGATACCTGAACGGGCCCTTAGAGAGAAAAAGCGTGAAAATTATCAATTTGTTGCTTTCTGCTTGAACGTCTTTTCAGACTTTTAAGTGAGTGTGAATGGAGTCTTAGTCAGTGGCACAGTCAATGTTTACCTTGACTCCTGGGATATGTGCAAAGAAGGCCTCTGGACTCTGTGAATGATAGAGGGCGCCGTGCCCGACCGCTCCCCACGGAGCTCTGATGGTGAGACCTCCGACGTCAAACATGTTGCCTGACCTGTACCGGAACTTTGCTGCCTCGTTGATGATCTGAAAGAAATCAGGAGTTCAGGAAAATTATATATTTGAAAATTGTCTGCAGTAACAAACCAAGCGAAATATTACAGGTTGTATTTTAATTATGGAAGAATAAAAGAAACCAAATAGTTACTTTGGAGGAAAATCCTGATATACAAATGGAAATTAATTTTTGTTTTAATTGCTATTGATCAATGTGTTTGAAATATGACTCCAAGGTACATTGTGCAAATTTCAAATGACGACATACAGTGTATTATAAAGTGATATCAACTCAAGAAAACAACAGCCAAAACCAATCACGTAATAATTAATTTTGAAAAAGGGAAAGAAAAATAATTGTAAGGAAAAACATCCCTAGCAAATAGCAAGTCTTTTATCACCTCATACCAAGAATTAAAAAAAAATCTGTAATATGCTCATCCAAGAATCCAAGTTCATTAAACAAAACTCCCAGATTTTTCTCTGATTTTGTTTAAAATTCTATTGTTAATAAACAGGGGGCATTTCATACACTGAAAAACCCAGTTAAGCTTATCTTCAGTAGACCACTGTTTGAACATGATATGTAGGAGACTGACATAGGGACACTGATTTTCCGTTTCAAAAAATGGCCTTTTTCCGTTTCAGAAAATCTTGAATTCCGTTTCAGATGGGCTGAAAAATGGAAATTCCGTTTTGCCATAGACTTTGTACACATGAAAAAACTAAAATTCCGTTTACATAAGATTTTCATTAAACATGAACTTGTAGGGTACAAAAGTTCTATTAAAGCCGCCACCTTTGACAAGCCACTGATAACCACTCAAAACATACGGACGGGACTGGATAAACTTGATGCAAAATACTAGTGAAAATATAGACCCCTACGGGCCCTAGAGTCTAGGCTAGACCTACAAAAAATTATCAAATGTTTAGATTTACCAACTTCAAATTCGAACTTAGACTAGCAGACTAAAGTCAGCTGAATGTATCAGAACACAACATATTCTTGACGGAAATGCTGAGTAGTACCGACGTCAACGAAAACATTTTCAGTCTTGGCTGTCATGTCCGCGATCGATCGATTTTAGGCGCACATGCCAGCCCCTTTTTCGAACTGTACAACAGCGTGTGTACAATCTCGCCGCACGTAGCGCCCGCTACTGGCGTGTGTGTGCCTAGTATTACGTCTACGTAATACTAGGCGCCTAGCTGGCATATTCAGATTGTTTCGCTGCTATTTGTACCGTGTTTTACGCCATGATCTCTATTGGTCGAGCGAAACAAAATGGCAGCGCCCGGTCTCCTAAGAATCTGACGAATATTGCTAAATATTCGGAATTATTAACCATGATTTGAGGCCCAATATTTTTTAACTGCATAACGGGTCACAAAATAGTGTAAGTTTTACGATTTTCTTCTTGAAAAATGAAAAGTTTTGGGGTAAAAGGGGTTTTCCGCGATTTTCCGTTCGAAATTGCATTTTCCGTTTCAAATGGTCAATTCCATGAATTCCGTCCGTTTTCCGTGATCGCGGAAAATCAGTGTCCCTAGACTGACTACTTTTTTTGGGGGGGGGGGGGGGGGGGCAATGAAATTTCCTGATTTTTCAAATGACTGATAGATATTTTTCTCAAACTCCAAGACCTATCCCAAACTAGAGGAGAGGAAACATATTTTCCAGTACCCCCCCCCCCTGATTTCACGGAATATGGTAGCACTGGGACCCCTGTGAGTTACTTTTCAACTCTAAATGACCTGTGTTGCTTTTGTAAACTAATTAACCCTTGCCTAAAACTTAAAGACCCGTGTAGTCCCTCTATCAGGCCGATGAGAATGAGAACATTTTGTAGTCAATGGCTTACTTGATCAAAGGCTGGGTAGATATAATCAGCAAACTGTATTTCAGCGATAGCGGTTGCTCCCACGGCCGCCATGCCGATGCCGAAGCCAACGATACCTTGTTCACAGAGTGGTGTGTTGAATACCCTATCTTTACCTGTCAAAAGATGGTGATATCAAAGATATGAATCAAAAGCACCACCTGATATTTGGTTCCACTCAAAATTAGACAACAGAAGGACAATTCCAAGGTATTTTGACATCTAGGATTTAAGATGCATAAAATCGATTCTATCTTTTCATTTCATTTAAATTTGATACAAGCTCTAGTAGGGTTATACATACTTAAATACAACAATCAAGTAAATCAAAATTAGAAGCGGTCAGTAAGATATGTTATAAAATAGCTTGGACTTGCTTTCAACATAAAAAGGTTAAGATATTCATTTACAATTTTACCAAAGACCATCCTGCTTGCATACAAAAGCAAAAAGAAAATTAATGTACACAAATCTTTTGTGGGGGGGGGGGATATATACTTGAATGCTTGAGTAGGTAATATTATTGCAGATCCCTCAAAGAAAACACTTTTAGCACTTATAAGGCTATACTGGGTACAGAAGACATTTTTTACCCAGTATGATTAATCCTCCTCCTCCTCCTCCTCCCCCACCCCTCCCCATAAAATCAGTCTAAAAGTATCCCTAAATGTTTGCACAAATTAGAACATACATTGTACATGTATATAAACATGTAATCCCCTACTCACCATGTTTATCCGCTAATCCAACAGTACATCTGAAACACACCAAAGGCAACATCCTCACCAAATATGACTGGATGAAAAAATAAACAAAACATTTCAAAGTAAAGAAGTAGCAGGGATGTGCTTGAAAACTGTATTTAACTTTTGAGCTCACTTCTGTCTTCTTCAACACTGTCAACCCAGAAACCTTCTGGCGGATGAAATGTTTGCAAAATGAATTTTGTGGTGATTCTGATTCAGAATTGCTTAATTTTTATGAAATTCAATGAATCACATCTAACAAAACTCAATTTCTTGCAATTTGCTTGTTTACTGTAGTGAAAATCACTCTCATCAATTATGAAATCATAAAAGCTTTATTTCACAGAAGTTTCTGGTTTCTGGAAGTTACTTTCAATTACTGTTTATGATACACGGACTTAAAATACAATGACTTGACAAAGAATCGATGAGAATATAAGACAAAAATCACCTGCTGTAGAGTCTGAAGTCAAGGCTACATCCATGGCATTGTTAAGAGCCTGGAATAGATTCATCTTTGTTGTTTCTCCTGCAGAACAAAACAGTTAACAAAGAAAATAAAGAAATGTAAGAAGAAGAACCGATAGCCAGGGACCACTCACAATTATACATGACAGGTTATCACAGGCGAGAGAATGTTCTCAAATTTACAAGGTCGTTTCAAAGAAACAAAATCACCAGCCAAAAAGAGCATAAAAATTATATTTTGATCAAAGTGATAAATTAAAGAATGTATTGACATCAGACATACAATATTTCATCATCCTTATTCAAAAATTCCGTCTTACACGTAAAATTGTCCAGGTGAGAGAGAGAAGGAAAACAAAACATCTGGGCCTCATCAGGATCCATAAGCTACAACTGTATGCACCTCTCAAATATGTGCAGTGTGACACATTAATTGTGCCAAACTAAGCTCTTATTAACTAACAACTTACCGTAACAAGAATATCAATATACTGATTGAGGTTCGCCCCCCAATAAGGCAAAACATTTGTATAGATTTCATTTCATATTGCTAGTCGAGGTGAAATTTATAAAAGTCTCAACTCGACTCGTACTACTACTACTAGAATCTAGATCGTACTAGTGTTTCGCTGAGCGAAATTTATTTTGTGGTTTTTCAGCAAGTCGAAAATCTTAGAAGAGATTTTTAGAGTTCAGATTCTTTGTTTCATAAGATAAGAAAAAAGGTTCATTTTGTTAATTATAATATCAGAAAAGCTAGATATTCATTCTCTTTCAGCCTAAATGAAGCATTTAGGTATTTTATAGAAGGTGAATTGGCAATTTAAATATTTACAATATCTGTTGTATTTATGATCGATGTTTTTTATAGTAGGATTTGAAATGGCCTTTTCTTTGAGTATTTGTTTTTGAAGGACACCTTACTTTCGACTTCGATAATAAGCGAAGCCATTTTAGACACTTGTTCGTGTAGTCTGTCGAGCGTCAAGTCACTGGAGATGAGCTCTCCAGTTTTCCCAGTTTTCTCCGTTTTGTCCTGTTTTTACAGTGACACCAGTGAGCCCAGTGTTTCGGCAGTAAATTGCTTAGTTCCGGCCAAAGAAGTGAGTTTCTGATATTTAGATAAAGTTATGTTAAATGTGTAAATGATAAGTTGAATTTAATTCGTTCAACTTCAGTAAACATTGAATCGCACGTGTGAAAGGGAATCTTATACGTGTGGTGCTATGCCAGGGACATTACTGTATAATTTGTTGCCGTTTTGACGAAGAGTAAAAGTGGATATATGTAAAGGGGAATAAGAGAAAATGTCAATTTAGGTGAGATTTTGTCAATTATAATGACCTGCATTGTGTTTATTTAGTCATTGCAAGTGAAGTTTTGCTTTGAAATATTCATGTAGATTTCTGGATAATGTAATTTACAAGCAAGTGGTTTGTACTGTGCAGGGTGTAAATGTCACCTACTTATTATGCGCACAGCTACAGCCAAGCTTTATACATGGGGCTTTGCATATGTTTTGAGTTATCTTTGTAACATTAACAGAGAGTTATGTATCGTAGGTTTGTGAAGACTTATTGAGTATAGTTCTGATAAAGGTATTTAGTCACAATTGTAATGTGGATTATTAGGAACAAATGTTGATTTTCAGATTGGGTTGATATTTTGGAAAGATGTGATTTAAACACGTATAATGAGATAGGCTTTTGGATTTCAGCTGTGGCATTTATTTTCGTTAGGCATTTATAAAGATGTTTATGAAAGTATACATTTGTAGTCACAAATGTTGAGTTAGTTGCCTTTATTAATTATGCAAATACAAATGCATGTTTATGTATGGCTACCAAATCACAAGGTTCATGTTTAGAACAGTTTGGGTAATTGATATACAAGTGGTGTATATTTATGAGTACAAGTTCATTAAGTTGTATTAGAGGCACTCAGAAATAAGAAAACAAAGGAAACTTTTTCGTGCAATACTTATTAATTTATTGTATTTTCTGTGCATCTGATTCTCATTACAGATTGAATTTTGAGTCTGTGTTGTCTTCGACTCTTCATACAACTCTTCGTTTGAGGAAGCTAATAAAGACTTCATAATCCCATTTCGAGTTTGGAACTTTTGCAATTTGTTTCATGGTCAGCGTACCAACTAGTCTGCCATAAAATCAAGATTGGTAACCATTTATTACCTGTGAGCTGTGCGTACTAGTACTACATAGCTCAAGGAACCTTTCATTCAGTGAAACAAGTATTACCAGGCATTAAATTGATCATGACAGATCACACAGATAGACCTACAAAATAATTTGATATTTTGCGTTAATTAATGTCGTTTGACGGTCATGTTGATCCTGATTTTTCATGTCATCTTCATTCAAAATATGCAGAACCAAGATCATGCCAATCAACAAATAACTAAATCATCATCAACACTGAATTAGAGCATACTTAGGCGATTTAGCCTATGAAAACAAAGTGCTCAGCTTATGCCCCCCCCCCCCCCCCCCCCCTCCCCACAACTATTATCAAGGTCCCACCTATTGAAAAGAGTGTCAAGTTTTAAAGATTTCATTTGGACTCCACGCACACACACACACACACAGTTTACTTACCATCCGATGGCGAGGCTGCATCAGGAACAAATTTAAATGCTGAAGCGAACCGTCTGGATCCATTTATAATCGGAGCTGATTGAGATGCAGATAATTCCTGCAATGACATGGAAGTCAGCCTTCCAGCAATTTGCCTGAGCAGCGCCATGTTTACGGACTTGGGATCTAGACGAATCGACCCGTTGAAGTGCAAACTTGCGGAGGTAGCTTTGTCTTCAAACTCGCCCTTATTTTACAGCCACTCGTCTTGTTTTGCTTTTTTTTTAAACCTTAAAAATAAAACCCTTAACCCCCCCCCCCTCCCCAAGGGGGTGGGGGGAATAAGAAGAAGAACAACAACAACAACCAAACAAACACAATTTTTTAAAGAGAATGGAAACTGGGATAGAGAAATATTGAGGAAAATCTCACTGCCATACTTCTTTCATTAACGGAAAGAAAAAAAAGAGAGAATGAAGTAAGAATGAACCATAATGGAGAGTCATACCAGAGAATGACGAATGACAAATGAATAGGTCCATACTGATGATGACGATGGAATTAAGGATGATGGAGAGAACACTAATAACAAGAAAGGTGAATGATAATGATGATATTGATGAATAAGGATAAAATATAGTGATGAAGAGAAAGAGAATAATTATGGATGAAGGGCAGACTTGATGTAAAATGAAGAAGAGAGGGGGTGGGGGGGGGGAGAGAGAGAGAGAGAGAGAGAGAGAGAGAGAGAGAGAGAGAGAGAGAGGAAAGGAGGGACAGAGAGAGAATGAGAGAGAGGGAGAGAGAGAGAGAGAGAGAGAGAGGAGGGACAGAGAGAATGAGAGAGAGAGAGAGAGAGAGGAGGGACAGAGAGAATGAGAGAGAGAGAGAGAGAGAGAGAGGGGGGGGGGGAGAGAGCGAGCAATATATAGAATAATTGAGAGAACAGTGGCCAGGACAGAATGGATGAAAAGAGATAGGAGAGAATCAATGATATATGATTACAAATTAAAATGAAGGGAGTATATATTATGCATGGTGGAATAAATGATATTATGGGAAGAAAAGAAGCCTGGTCAATAATTCAAAGGAGGAATTGTGGATAAGGATCAAAGAAAAGGAAAGAATCATGATGAAGAGGAGAATTGTTGAAAGAAGAAAAAACGAAGGAGGAAAGGAAAAATCATTATAGAGATTCTGTCAATATAATGCAATTGGAGCCATGCGCCTTTGTATGCTTGGAAGTATATTCTGGTTGATTATTATCATAGAATGATGGAAAGAACGAAGGAGAGTTGATGATCAGAAAAATGACAGGAGATATAATCGTTTGATAACTAGATGATAGAGAAAATGCTGGAGACAATAATTATGATCAGAGATAATGGATAGAATGATGGAGAAAATAATGGATAGAATGATGGAGAAAATAATGGAGAGAATGATGGAGAAAATAATGGATAGAATGATGGAGAAAATAATGGAGAGAATGATGGAGAAAATAATGGAGAGAATGATGGAGAAAATAATGGAGAGAATATTAAAAGAAATTGAAGGAGAGATCGAGTGACGCATAGAGAAAGGAGAAAATCACGGAGAAATTAAAAACTATTGAGAGGATGATTATCTGAGAAAATGGAGATATGGCTGTTGGAAGAGAGACAAAGACAATGATGATCAGAGAAAATTAAAGGAAAGATTGAATGAAAGATATAATGATCGAGTGAAGAGACTAATGATCTAAACATTTGAAGGAGAGATTGAATGATGAAGAGAGAACGGACAGAGCCGATGGAAAAGTGGAGAGAATGATGAAGAGAGAATGAAATGAATGCTGGGGAGAATGATGAAGAGAGGGAATAAATTGAATGGTGGAGAGAAAGAAAATGAAGGAGAGAAAGAAAATGAAGGAGAGAAAGAAAATGAAGGAGAGATCAAATGATGAAGACAGAATGATGGAGAAAACTATTTAACTATTCTAGAGAATTGATTCTACAAGGTTCTTAAAAGTAAGCTATCCTGTTGATCTTAATAACAAGGGGCATGGTCTAAAGGGAATAGAAATACACACAAAATGATAATTACGTCAAGGAAATAGTGATAATGAATTCAAATGATAAAAGACATGTGTAATATGTTTCCTTGCAAAAGTATTTATTTGTGTTTGGTGGTGTCCGAAGAAGTGATATATCAAACAGTGAAATCAAATTACACACATGTACAAGACAAAATCAAGAACTGCAAAAATAATGTATCATATTACAATACTTGCATAAACATTTGTGTCTCAGAATCTAAACATTTACTGTCAATTTACATATTAACCAAAGTGGTTTAAACATAAATAAGGAAACATAAGAAGAACAGCATCTTATACTGATATAAGAATCACATGCATAACCATTTGTTATGTTCCACATTAAACAAAAAATTATGATACAATGATTCAAATCCTAATGCCATCTTATTAGGATTATTTGAGTGTAAGTTTTGAGAATTACTTCAAATGTCACAGACAAAAACACAGAAAAATAGAAATAATGATATTATTGAGTTATACTGAAGCAAATTCCTCTTTATATAGAGACCCTGTTTTTATTTCAGCCACTGTAAGCAAAAAAGACCACTTGGTTGATTATTACAATTTACATGTACAAGTACAACATTTTCCTAAATGATCATTTATCAAAACAAAGATTAAAAAAACTACATGTACATTGATTGTTCAACTATACTTACTCTGATACAATTTGATACACATTGATTACAGAATTTAACAAAAATTGGAGACTTTAGATACAGAAAGGTCATTATTTTCGTGATAGCTGTCCAACTTATCATTCTGGGATGAAAAATATAAGAATGATGTATGAACAAAACAATTAAGATTCCTTGTATAGAACATCAAAGGAAGAACACAGAAATTACAGCGAAAGATCAAGCCACATAATGTACATTTTAATGACTTACAAAATATACTTTTTTTTTTTACTATGGAATATCTTTTCTAGCAATATAGTTTCTTCTTATAAGCTGTTATTGATACAATATTTGAAAGACTGTTACATAATTACATATTGACAAAAAAAAAAAAGATAAAAATATGTAATTTTTATTTACACAATTACTCAAACTCTGTGCAGCATTTTGATCACAACAAACGTGATTTCACATCAACTCCAAACTGTAATTATTATATTGCAAAGAATTATGGAGATTGAGTTACCTACAAAACTGACATTGATTCATTTGTTATCTCAAGAATAGAATATTGGTGGAAGTGAACATTAACATCCCTCCCCCCCCCCCCCCCCCCCCTCTCAAGAAAAAAAAATTAAGTAGTTGCAAATTAACTCTAGTATGTACTATATCTCTGCTGAGAAAAAACCCTAACCCATAATCAGATATTTTTAATTCCAGCTCTAAAATAACGTACAAAATATGACCATACAATTTTTTTTAGGACGTTGCTTTGTCATCATATTCATAATATTCAGGGAAAATATCTATGGAGAGTTCAATTTTGTGTAAAATGTTCAGAATACTGTACATGTACTGAACACTGAGACTGAATTCACTGAATTAAATTTCATTTTGTATGTATTTCATCATTTTCTAAATCATAAGCATTTTTAGTACAGTAAGCATGATGGTCCTAAAATCAACTTGAAACGAAGCATTCTCTGCTCCTGATTCCTACAACTATAATCATAGCAGCTCAAATTGAGAGGCCCGACATTATCCTTCAGAGGTTAAATATTCAAAGATTTACAAGTGCAGGCACACTCTCCGCAATCAATCAGTGATAAGTTCACACTTATTGCATAGAAGGTGCACATCTGTACATTCCTGGAGAAAAAACTCTTTGATTTGGTCAACTAGATTCTTTTCTTGGAAGCCATTTCAAAATGAACAAATATATATACACACATGCATTTACTTCTTTGATATAGGTACTCAAACTATAGCTGCCACACTTTAAAATATAATCCGTACATACATGTACAGGTGTACATATACATCTTCAATCACTACCAGTTAACTCTATATTAGCTAGCTTCGACAACTAATGAAACACATAGTGGACCTCCACAACTCTCCCTACTGCATGTACATGTAGCTGAAACAAGCCAACGTAAGTGGCGCTCTATTTCTTACCAAAAGAGACAATGTAGTTTTGCCTAAATTGTCTTTTGTCACATATACATATCATTCCAATAATGTGGCAGTCAAGGACTTCAATCCGTTAGCAGATGAAGAGAGTTAAGAGGAAGAATATCCCTCACATTCAATTCCAACGGGGAGAACGTCATCTCACCTTGATATAAGATACATTTGAGTTGCACAGTGAACAGTAAATTATCTTATTTCCCCTGTTACAAGACAAAAAACGGAAAGTAGCTTAATTGATATTTTAACAAAATTTGTATGACTACTCAATATGTATCTTAAACTGCATAAATATTTGATCTTTAAAACTGTAAAAAGTAAAACAATGGTACTAGTAGTTGCATTAGTATAAAAAATATTTGTACAGGTATACTTTCTCTTTTTTTTTTAAATGTAACAGAAAATAGTACATACATGTAGTGTATGTTGATTGAGAACAATAAGGCTATTATAATGCCCTTCTGGCTCTAAACAGACAAGATATTCATTTGTTCTTTGTTTTAATAGCTCTGTTCCTTTATTATATAAGAAAAAAATGTTTCGATAAAAGTAGAAAAAAAATTGCATTTCAAAATGGAAGGCATGATTAAATTCTTATTAAAACCAACTTCAAGGTGCCAAGCATTGCAAAAATTGATTTATTACCACAGAAAAATCCTAAGAAATTGCTTCTAAGAGCAGCAAATCTTTTCCATATCATTGCATATATTTATACTGGAAAGCATGTGGTAAACTTGTTAATGTTTCCTTATACCAATGCCAAAGTATTGTGTATAGGTAGCAAGTATAAAATCAACCTATAACCCCTTACACCAAGAGCAAATCTGTCTCTCTTTACTCGACTACTACTCAGTTTTTCAGCTTGCATAATTGTCTTATATTCAGCGTAAACCCTGTTTGGAAGTATATCATATAGAAAACTAGCTTACAGTAAACATTATGAGACAGACTCTTGTACTGCACTCTTAAAAGTGCCTTAGCACATGTTTCAAATCAGCATAGAGCTTTTCAATCCTTGGACCTTTCACATATGGTGATATATAAATTTTTAATGAAAGATGTTTCTTTTTAGCATGATGAACTCTTGTATACAAAAAAGACATGATAAAATATAACTTTTACTCACAAAAAGAATCTACATGTAAGGTGCATCATTTATAACATACTATACCCTGTTTTAACTTCAGCATTATAAAAAAGATCTCTTTTAATATTAGTTCTTTAGTTACCATTATTATCAAAACACATGTAATAATAAACTCTCTTCTGTCATTAAAGATGAAGTTGAGTTCTGGTCATGCGATTGCATCGTGAACGAAACGGTGTGGAACCGACCAGAAAAGGTTGATCATCTGGCATATAAGAATTTGTGTGTATTGCAAGGTTCTGGAATCATCAAAATGATAAAAAAAATTGCCAAGTCTTGGTAAAGTTACAAACATTTGCACACAGAAAGATGTATATGGGACTACATGAACACGTGGCGTAAAAAGCCGCCCCCCCCCATTTTTACGATGTTACATGCATATTTAGAATATTAAGGCGTTTGAAGAGCCATGCTTTTCAGGGAACATGTCTTAACTGATGTTCTTCCACACTTGCATAATAAGAATGAGTAATGCTCACAAATTATTTTTCACCTCTTCCCAGAACTCAACCTTCTCTTTAATACTTTGGTCAATCATCAAGAAAAGAAACGCTTCTCTTTGCAGTGTTTTCATACAAAGAGGTACTTTCTAGTCTACATTTATATGAAATGTTACATTTTGATTGAAAATTCGCATAATGCACCATCATTCGCAAATTCACACATTTCAGTTTTCAATTTTCAGTTTAGATAACACGATTATTTCTTCTTCTGTTTTTGCTACAAGTTGAATTAAAGGTGAAATTTCATACCATTAAGGTTTGTGCATCAGTAAGAATATTTACTGTCACATGATCTTTCTACTTCACATGATTCTTGTTCATGTATGAAACAGTACATATTTCATATACACGCACATTGAATTCTTAAGACATAATGAGATCAATAACACTTTTCTGGTCCTCACTATATCATTGCACAATGGAAGAACAAGGGATTTTTTTCACCCCTCATCTTAGAAGTTCAAACAGAAGAAGGATATTTCCAAAGGCACTCTTTGATTCTCAAATACTTCCTGGTGTCCCCACACTGCAGATACAAAATGGCTGAATATCCATTTCTAGAATTCTCTACTTTGTTGCTTCTCAATTGGAAGTCCGGCAAATACTATTTCTCCTTCTAAATACTGTAAAACTAGAAACTTAGATGAATTCTAAAAGTGGTCCAGATTTTGCAATTTTTTCTGATTTCTCAAAATGCAGATAAATAATTACATAATTTCCTTTTACAGAAATCTATCTTTGTTTTCCATTCCATTTCCAGTTGGGCAGTAGTGTCTATCCTTTTGAATCCGCTTCTGATTACTGTAAAAACTAAAAATTTGCATCAATTTGGAGAATGGTCAAGATTCTCAGAAGTTCCATGCTGTAAATTATGAATCACAGTACTGAATTCTTCAATTATTATGAAGTTTCTTGCCATGACGAGGATCATCTTTTACGATTGATGATCAAAGTGTAAAGTCACAAGAGTTTCTAGTTTTATATTGAATGCCAATGAGACAAACTTCATGCTTGGAATCTGCTCCAAGGAGGGAAGGAGGGGGGGGGCAAATCTTTACCCTTTTGGTGCTGGATAGGATCATGTCGTAGCTGGTGGGGCGCTCTTGGACCGAGCGATGTTTGGCATCTCTGCCTGGTACCAGGCTTCAAACTCCTCCACCGCCATCCCAACAACCTTCTCTCGAACAAACTGTGAAAGAGATGACAGAGAATAAAGATTACTACAAACTGTATGTGTAAATCATGGAGGATACTAGATACAGTATGTATATAAATAGTAAAAAAGGAATAGGGAAGCTGAAGTTGAATTTGCTTTACCCCCACTGCCCACCCTGCCTTCCCTCCTCCTTCTCATATCATTTTGGGATTAAAAAAACAACAACTAAACATTCTCATTTCATCATTTAAAAGAGAAAGTTCACTCTTGAAGGAAGCAAACATTATAATGAGGCCTATAATTCTTTGGACATGCTATCTAATGGATAAGGTGATCTAACATTTGGTCCTGAAAAGCGCTATGTAAGAACTAGCTATTATTATTATTATTATTATTATTATTTGCTCTAGCAACAATTGCCCCAGGATTTATGTCATCAATAGTATACTATTAGGGTTTTAGTTTAGGCTAGGTCTAGGGATAGGGTTAGGTATAGTTTGGTACAGAGTTGAAGCTATTAATTGGTTAGTGTAGGAAATTTACAGTGGAGCAATTGTTGCATAAGAAAACAAATATATGTTGTACAACTCAATCCATTGATATTTACCTCTATGGCTGCACTTATATCTGGTGAACAGATCTCCCAATGTCTCAGACCAGCTAAGACATTGAGGAACTTCTGAGGTGTTGCTTTCCTACTCTCAATCTTCCCAAGGCTCTGTAGCTTGTCCAGTATGGCCATGCAAGGTCTGTCATTGCTGATATCAGCTGGAAGGTTCCGCACCAACTCTTGGTACCTGCGGGCATGGTTAAAGAGAAAGGAGTGTTTAGCATTTTCCTTTCAGTGCTCACTTAAAGAGGGTGTAGCATGGCAAATACTGATAAACGCCATCTACGACTTCTATTGGACAACTACACATAAATGAATGGACTTGATTAATGATCAGCACACGCTAGCGTTCGCGAAACAGCCCAAAGTTCTCCTCATGCTTTATTTTTGCGTATGTTGCACGCACGTGAATACTGGGGTCGCATCGTTCGTAGTCGTATTATACCCGATTAGCCCCGAGTCAGGCCACGGAAAAGACACAGAGGCTCGTCATGCTACACCCCCTTTAATAACCAGGATTTTCAAGCCCAAGCTGCAAGCATCTCTACCTTGCCAAAGATCACAGGACTCAGTTTGCAGACGTCACTGATCAGACCAAGCACTCCTGCTTCATAAGATAGAACTAGAAGCCATGGAAAAGTTAGGAACGGCCAATTCCTACACCTCCTTCTGTTTTACTCTAAATTGTTATGTTCTTGACCCTGTTTTCATATTCAACCTACGAACAGCAACTTCAGTATGAAATGAATTCAAATGTTGAAAGAATCAAACCCATTAGAACCCTTAATTTAAAGTGTACACGCATCTTAACTCATATCCTGCCATGAGACTGCTAACGCGCTACTGTTATAGTGCTCTGTGCACGCGAGCGCGCTATCGATTGATTGCTACGTTCATGCTAGCGAGCTACGTCTCGTCTGCTTTGTGCACGCTAGCAAGCATATGTAATAACAGTCATTGTTCATGCCCATTGCACCGTGCTGAGTGCTTTTGCAGCGCTACCATCGCGTGCATCAGATTATCGGCTTTGGATTACGTGTCTTTGTATACAACAGTCAGATTGGATTTTCTCAAGTAATTTAGCGATTTTTTTTTTGTAAAGATTTAAATAACACGCACTTGAACCAACCCTAAAATTAACTTGGCACACAGGAGATTTGTGGCTGGCACAAAAGGGATTAGCACTGTGGCACTGGGTGCATTGTATGGGTGGCAGCTTATAAGTTACGTTGAATTGTACATGTAGCTATTTGCTGCAAGATTTGAAACAAAAGTCATCGTAAAGAAACCAACATAATCATAACATTAAATACACTGATTTAACCAAGAGAGCTCATTCGACTCACCATTTGCTCTCATCTTCCAGTTTCTTCTTTCGTTTATTTTCTTCTGCTAGCAATTCATCTTTGTCCTGTCCGGCTTCCTTGAGTAAAGCCAGCTGAGAGCTGATGTGAACGTTGGTGCGGATCGATTGGAACTTGTTCTCACTCCTTTCAAGTCGCTTCCTGAAAAGGGCAGACAAGAGAAGGAATTCATAAGAAGCTGTACTTTACAGTTAACAATCAGCTGAGTAAAACTGAATTCTTTTCAACTGCCCAACAGTTGCACAGAGCCTTTCACAGAAACATAATTTAGCTTCATGATTGCAGAAGGGCAAGTAAGTTTTATTGTTAAGCCAACTTTAAAAGGTATGATTAACAGATAAAAGACAAAATAAAGAAAAGATGAACAAATAGGATTTGAGATTAGAAGAGATACTTCTAAAGAAAGAAGACCGTACTGATGAGGAAAGAAATGTACTTTGAAACTAGAAAAAAAAAGGGTACATAATAAGTTGACACAAAAAATTAAATATAATGAAAACCATTAATAAACATTGCCTATAATAATAATATTTAATTTTTATATAGTGCTTAATACAAATGTCTCTAAGCGCATAGATTGTGGCGTATCCAGAAAATTGTTAACAAGGAAGCAAAACCCTAGGGATGTGGTGTGGTGGGAGGAATCGAGGGGGGGGGGGGGGGTCCCCCTTTAATAGCACTGTGAAAGTTCACCGTTTCTCTTATTCTATGCGCCTTCAAAAGGGCAATGTGAAATGGAGGAGGATAGCCAAAATTATGGTGTGCATGTGCATGAACACATACGGACAAGATATGAAGAATCTCACAAAGAGTCAGAGAGAAATATTTAAAAGAAAAAGAAGCTGGAGAAGTAAAACAAAACAGGGGGGGGGGGGGGGAGGGCAAGAATATAAACACTATAAGCAGAGGAAGAAAAGCGGTGTAGGAACAGATATGACAAAGAGCAAGAAGTGTCTGTTACTAACTTTTCCATAGCTTCTAGCTTATCATGAAGCATGAGTGCTTGGTCTTCAGTGACGTCTGCAAACTGAGTCCTGAGCTCTTTGGCTAGGTAGAGATGCTTCCGGCTTGGAAAGACGGGCTTGAACTCCTGGTTTCTTACCGGAGCACTGAAAGGGGAAATGTCAAAGGTCAAATATGAAAACACTGAATTGTTCAAAATATAAAATATTCTGTTTCCATCAAGAAGAGGTACAGTCAAAAAGGCACTTTTCCCCTTCTATATCACAGTTCTTAAATTACAACTAGCTCAATTACTCAATTAAAATCAGATGGAAATACTGAAACAGTCTGAAAATTTTCATCTTCATTTAACAGAATATGGTATTTGCATCATATTACTATAACTGTAAGTATTGATACCAGTAATAAAGATGTTTTCACACCAATTTAGTTTTTTTTTTTTTTTCCTTTTGATAATTTGACATGAGCCTGTACAAACTGTAAAGATAAGACAAATCAATCAGACTCCTTGATCTCCAATCCAGGTCACTAAACTAGCAACTTTAGATAAAAAGGACATTTTGTATATCTTTACTTCATTCTCTCCTCTACATTTTTATCATGTGGAATTGTGGATGGTTGATTAGGGTTAGGAATGTTCATTAAAACTGTTCCCTTACCTTTGTGATCTATGGAGTTTTCTGTTGGTTGTGGCCACCCATGTGCTAACCTGTCTCTCCCTTGGTCTCTCTTGCTTGTCCTTCTCCTCTAAGTCATGTTTCTATAAATAAAAAAATATGAATATTAATAAAAATTTCCAATGGATCCCTTTGAATTCAAGTAAAATGATCAATATGTAATTGGTCCGTTAACAAATATCTAAACTCTCTTTTGTTTAGGGTCATCAAATCATTGCATGCACAAATGCTAAAAAGCATGCCCGAAGTATTTGGCATAAAACAAGAGATTTTTTGTGCAAGAAATGTTCATACATTTTGCCAAACGCCCTGATTCACTAAAGATTCATACTACAAAAGAATTTCATACTGCCTTTAAATACATTAATTAAATGTCCATATCAATAAACTTGCAAAATCAGAAAAGTTTCTTGTAGCAAAAGTGCCATCATTCACAAGTTGCAAAAGTTGCATTAAAGGTAAAGACCAGTATTGGAAACGCCCAAATTTAAAAAAATGAAATGGAAGCTCTTATTACCAATCGTGTAAAAAAGAATATGTTTTGAATAATAAATGATGATAAAAATGTTGACGGGAAACCGCCTACTAATTGATATATTTGGTAAATTAGTGTATCTCTTGCCTGTTGAGAGATACAAATGCACGTGTCACGCACGTGTGTGTAGTCCCATATACATCTTTCTGAGTACAGTGATTCTAACTTTATGAAGACTTGGCCAAATTTCTTATCATTTTGATGATTCCAGAACCTTGCAGTACATATATGCTAGATGATCAACCTTTTCTGATCGATTTCACAATGTTTCTTTCACAATGCAATCGCATGACCATAACTGGTCTTTAGCTTTAATGGTTAATATCCCACCGCTGCCACCCCTTATGCAGCTCTTCTTCAGTAAATTGGAAGCACTTCCTTTGATCTTTTCTCTACAAAAACTCATACAATGTGCAAATGTGTCTGGAAAATCAGTTAATAGAAAGTTTCCCAAGTGTTGCCAATTTGCAGATTTTAAGGCTTATTTTCCATTTTCAAAATTCATTGTATCAAGTGACATTTGCTTTGGCAACCATTATTGACACATGTTGTGCATAAATTTGCTCTTTGTCTGTGCTGATAGGAATTAATCAAAAGATAACTTGCCAAACAATAAAGCATTGGATTCTGTCTTTAATGGGCTACAGGGATATTATGAGTAAACTTTCCTCAAGACCCAAGTCAGAAACCAAGGAGAAAGAGCACTACCAATAGAAGGCTAAACATTTATAACAGCACAAGAAACAGAAATAGGCAAGTAAGTAATTATACAACAGTGAATTATTTACATGCAATCCTGAAGGGGTCAAAACAGAGAGTTTCATAACCTAATCATTCTGTATCAGCCAAGTGAGAAACACAAAGCAACGTCATTGATGAGGTAAGGTTTGATACTTACAGATAGTTTATTCACAATTGATCCACTTCTCTTTGATGAGGGAGTTGCTGTTCTGTCACTCAAAACAGAGGGAGACCTAAATGATGCAACAGATGAATATTTCAATTATAAGAGTTATGAGGGAAAAAATATGTTTCTCTTCATTTGCTGGATATATAATATAGATATTTTTCACAGATCTTGAAAAATGTGTAAATATTAACAGGGATACTAAAACACAGGGAAAGTTGTATAATACATGTATGTACAGCAAACAGGAGATGAATATTATTAGCACACTTCATCTGCTTATCACTGTACTCAAGAGTAACTAATACATGTATGTCCAGATGCTTGAAAAATCCTGAAGTGTTTTCTGACAATCAGATATACATGTACATAAATGTATCCATACAATTAGCTAGTAACATACCATCAAATTAATCAGTGATTACAATTAAAAGTACAATCCTGAAGTTAGTAGATATTATCAGAGCATAGAAACTATAGATTACATGTAATATTTTCTGATAAGTGAAAAAGCAATTGGATAAATAAATACAGTTCCAACGCTGCATAAAGGCCGAAACTTGAAAATAGAAGGAAATGTTTGGGGCATTCAGTGCAATTTTAAGAATTACAACTTTTATGTTATTTCTCAATAACATAAACTCATTGCTGAGGACTCTGTGGAGGTGACAGCCTGTAAACAGAAAGCACATATCGAGGGGTCAGTGACACAAAGACATTTTGAGAAAAAGTCTTCATGTGTCACTGAGCACCTAGGCCTTAAGGAGTTTAGTCTATGTTTCACTAGCCATTGACTTCAATAGGGTGTTGGGGAAGTTAAGTCTTTGTGTATCCTGGAAAGTCCACATTTTTCTGAACATTATGATATCAAATACTCATTTTGGGAAAATATGGAGTTACGTCTTGGTCTCGCTGAACCCTCAATATGCTAAGCTCAATCTCTCACCTTTGCAGTTTCCCTGGTGTGTCCCCTCTACCGTCCTCATGTTTGCCCTGTATTGAAACACTGTCTTGAATATCAGCCACTGTGTGTGAAGAGAGCAAGCAAAATGATGAAAATCAGACACTGCAGAGTAATGTTATCACAAGGATTTTATAGCCATCATGGTATATAAAATGTTACTGCTCACCTAACCAAAAGTTCACTTTATAATCCAGCCCCTTCTTTTATTTCTTCTCATCTTCATCCCTCTTCAACTACACATACTGGGGAGTGTTTCACGAAGACTAAGATCGACTTTAAGTTGGACTCAACTATGGCAGGCCATTCATGCCACTGGTTGCTCTCACCATTATCATCTTTAGATACATTTTTCCTACAATAATGAACTATCAAAAAATGTAAGTTCTGTAGATTTGTGACCTTGATTTGTAAGTCCCTTGAAAGACAAATGCCAGTAAATGGTGAGAGAAAACAATGGCATGAATGGCCTGCCATAGTTAAGTCCAACTTAAAGTCAATCTTAGTCTTTATGAAACACCCCCAGGTCTCTGTTCTTCTGTTTCCACAAAGCTTAAAGAACCCAGAACAAAGAGCAGTTGGAGTGACAGAGAATGCACTGCTGCTGTACCCTGACTTTGGAACCCCTTCCCCACTTATCGCTATTATGCTGATGCTCAAGGCCACCTTAATATTATTACCACGGTTATAGTCGAGCCATCAGAGTAACTGCACAATTAGAATACTAAAAACTGTCAGGTACAGATCTGGATGGACTGTGGCAAATGTAGATGAAACATCAAGCCAGAAGGAATCATTGCCGGGTCTGGATTTTAGCCCCAAACCTTGTGATCTACTACAGTCTGGTGATGTATCCACAAAACCACAGCACCTCTGTGCTACAACAAACTTCAAAATGTCCGTCGTTATTTCTTACATTTATCAGCAGCCTCTAAGAACGAACTGGCGGAATCCTCGGCCTTAGGTGACAAAGGACTTTGGTCAACTGAACTGTGACCCATCGCCGACGCCGCTCGGTTGACGGTGCTGTTTGCCGACAGACGACGCAGCGTTCTCGTAAATCCTGAGTTTTGAGTGGAAAGCAGACCCCTTGCAGGAGAGCGAGATTTCTGAGAAAAAAAATACAACATAAATAGAATGAATTAAATGTTGTAGAATAATGAGTTTTAAAGCCCCACTGCACTACTTATAGCTACTTGCGCCCTCTATATAACAAACAATTCCTAATCGGTGACCATTGGTCCCCCATAGTCCCCTTTTTCTTACATGTATGTTAATTGAGAGCTGATTTGATGAGATTACTACCTGTCAGTGACCATGCAGGGAGGTCTAATTCCTCCTGGCCAAAATAGTGCAGAGGGGCTTTAATGTTAATGGAGAAAATGATATGGGTCTTTGTCAGGGTGGCGAACCAATTACCTTTGTTATTGAGATCCTTACTAATAACTAAACTCATGGGTCAGTATTCATAATTATGACTTTTACAAAGGTTAAAGGTGAACTTCAAAGAAAATCACAAATATGTCAACTAATGTATCACTAGAAACTGGTAAGCTAACAGATAGCCATCGTACAAGTTTTAGGTCAACTACATATCGGGTGATTTATAAAAATACAAATACAACCACCTCCAGTAGCAGCTGGGATATGCGAGAGATTCGCCGGAAAAATAACGATGTTTTTAATGACGTCACTATATGGACCAACACTGCCCAAGCAGACGACATTCCATAGAGAATGAACATAATTGCAAAGCTATTATTTCTCAAATTATAATGAGTTTAGTGTATATAAATGTAATGGCATGTCAAACCATTCAAAGGGGGATATGACCCGATTCCGATAACTAAAATCTTTTGCTTGTAAATACGAAGGATATGTGTTAATTAACGATCAAAGAAACCAGACTTTCGAATTGAAAACCCCCCGGAATGATATCAGGACGGCATTTGTTCCCTCTTGAAACGCCGAACATACCGCGCTGTGTGCAGCTGAATATTCAATACCGTCTTATTTTGTTTACAAGCGACAAATTCCTTTATTTTTGTATCGCTGCATTTGTCATCAAAATAAAACCGTGTGCGGGGTTTAGAGTGAGGCAATAGATTATAATTTTAGCCTGACGGTAGTGAAGTAAGAGAAAGAACTCAAGAGAAGATGTAAACACAGGCACTGAAAATGTGTGTGATGTCATGGGACATCGTCTGCTTGTGCAAATCGTGTCCATACAGTGATCTCACACATCTCAGGAGCGTTCGGAGAGCTCTTCAGGTGCTATGCCGGGGCTGTATTTAAGCGTTTTATAATTTATAATAATAATCACCTCAAATGTTTCCAAGCATTGAAGTTTGATAACCTTGTCGAATCACAGTTTCAACTTTGCAATAATGAAATTAAGTTAGTTTTTAAAATCAATGAACATCAACTTTAAAACGGATTGAATTATAGTCCTTTGATTTACAATATCAGCAAAAGATTTCACCGTAACTAAATACATTTTTAGGGTAAAATTTTTTCTTAGAATAAATAACATTATCAACAATTCTACAGACAAAAGTTTTATGTGCAATGTCTTAAGACATTAACTGTAAGCAGAAAGACATTCATCACAAGTGAGTTAATATTAGTGATCGCATTAACAAAAAATAAACAAGAACTGTTCGAAAAATAGGAAACTGCTTTTGAGATTAAGGGACATTTTTTTCTAACAATTGTTTAAGCAAAAAATGTAATGTGAAATGTCAGAGAAAAATACCCCTAAAAGAAACATTGAACACAATTCAGTTAATATAAGTGATAAGGTTAAAACACAAATAACAAGAGTTCTTAGATGAAAGGGTGCATGCAAGCAAACAAATTAAAGATAAACTTGAGTTCTGGTAAAAAAGAAAATGAATTTTCACAGAATCTAATAAAACTTACACCGAATGTTCAAGATTACAAATAAATGTCATGTGCCAAACAATTTTGGAAGAAATGTAACTGGCTGAGTAATGAGCATAGAAAGATAAGGAAATCAGGTATAGTACTAGCCCCGACACCATGTGTGTTGTCCCATATACATCTTTCTGTGTAAGTGATTGTTACTTTACCAAGACATTGCCAAATTTATGATGATTTTGATGACTCCAGAACCTTGCATTACACACCATTACTTACATGCTATATGATCAACTTTTCTGATCCATTCCACACCTTTTCTTTCACAATGCAATCGCATTACCAGAACTCAAGTTTAGCTTTAAGAGAAATTTCAGACCAAGACTATTTGACTGATCACGTATAAATCACCATAATCATCATAAATCCAACCCATTAGCAATTTAATGTTGTCAGATGCATGCAATAAAAACTAATCTTAAAAAGAAAAGGATGTGTTTTCCCAACCGCAAGAAGCACACAATAAAACATTTATTGGTAGACATGCTAAAGAGAAGTGTACATATAATGTGCAAAGTCCTGCATTTATGGTCTAACAGATCATCAAAACAAAGACAACATGTACATGTTACAACCCAACACACACTTTTTTGCACTTGGCACACTTGTTTTCTTTGTTTCCCTTTTCAGAGTTTGAAACAAAACACAATGTCAATCAAAATGGCCGGCCTTCTCATAATCATAGGAAGTTGTGACCATGAATGAAATTGTACGCACTTGAATAACCTAAAAATATGCTTTTTTTCCTTCTAAATCTTGCCAAATGCAACATATTTATTTCCAAACTAGCTGAATGATGGTTAATCAAGTGTAACAATTCCTTTGCATTGTAATTTTCTCAACCTACCATAACAAACCATCAATTCTTAGCAAGCGAAAGAGGTTTCACATGCAAGAAATTGACAGTCTTGATTTTTTTTCCACACATCCTATACCACATATTCAATTGACAGGAAAACAAAGAACATCTAAATGAAAAAGATGACACAATTCTTAGCAAACAAAAGATGTTTTACATGCAAGAAATTGACAGTCTTTAATTTTTTCTAGAGAAAACATGCACACAAACAACGTGATAGTATTAGTTTCATGCGAATGACACACTAAATGTACTCTAGTTAGTACGAACACATTCACAGCATTTAAAACATGTTTTTACCTGGAATACACTAGGCAAGCCAGCCTGAGGAGGGGGCAGCAGGGGAGAGGGGTGGAGAAGGGAATGAGGTATAGTAATAATAATGACAATACTGTAAACATATAGTATGAGGGGAAAGTACATGCCACAAATATATATCACTAAAAAGGGAATGTTGTATAATGGTGACGAGAAATATATTATGATGGAGGATCAACATGCCACAGATATGACATTATATATTTATAGACTTGAAGCATTACATAAATGAGCAATGCATGCATGCACATGCTATCAAAACAAAACAAACTGAAGTCTTAACTTTTCATATATTTGAATTTGTAAGCGCTCTGGTACTTCTTGTTTTTAGCACTTCTAAATATTTAACATTATTATTATTGATATTAACTAGGACTCAATTTGTTGATCCATGATTCAGGCCGTGCAATTGAAGAACAATACAATGAGGAATAGGCAATGAAATATTACAAACATGCTAATAATCACGCAAGCTTTGCTTTAAGATATAAACTACTTATGCATTTATTCAACCTTTTAAAAAAGCTATCAACTGGAGGGAGACAAGATAGCTTGGTCAGTAGAAGCGCCGATGACCGAAGCCTTTGTTTTGTGTTAAAATGCTCCTCCCATGTGTCATACATGCAGGCTACATTACTTTAGAAAACACTCCGTCCACTCCCCGGCCCCCCCACTCAGGTTTCAAAATGACCGCATGCGTGTTGCCAAAATGTCCTTTTCGTAACAAAAGAAAAAGGTCGAGCCGTATTGACTTTACACACCGGACTTTTGCTGAAAAGGGGGGGTCCGGAAAAAGGCTCGTATACAAAAGAAAAAGGTCGAGCCGTATTGACTTTACACACCGGACTTTTGCTGAAAAGGGGGGGGGGGGGGGTCGGTTGGAACACGCATATGCGTACCCTAAATAACACTGAGTGGGGGGGGGGGCCGGGGTCCACTCCGTCTCTCGGAGAGGACATTAAATATCTATCAGCTGTGGCGCTAATATACATGTATTACACGTACTAAAGCAACATCGGCAAATATTGTAGATGGTCTAATTGACTACAAGAGGAAAGCGTGGGGCACTATAAGGAAGAGCAACATGATCATATGTGAACACAACATAATGATTCTTACCAGATGACCCGCACCCTCAGCTGATATGAACGCATTCCATCTCGTGTCCAATGCCTTATCTTTCCTCAGCCTCTGAATGGTGGTCTTACAAAATGATCTGTTCTCCATATCCCTACATAAGATATTAAGAACATACAATATGATAAAAATTGTAGAAATAAGTGAAATGCTAAGTTGCTATCAAACTCACAGTTTAACTGGATACTTTGCGCATACAAACATATAATTGGAATATGGTGCTTCTGTATATTTATGCTCCGGCAACTTTTCCTTCAGACTTTCATAACAGATTTTGGGGTTAGGTTAGGATTGCTTGGGTTTAGAGTATAGGGCTATGATTAGGTGCATTGTTTGGTCCAGGGTTGAAGATACTCGTAATAACATGGTGTATAATGGATGAACAGAGGGAGGAGAGGGAGGAGAGAGAGAAGATGAGAGAAGATGAGAGGGAGAGAGAGAGAGAAAGAGAGAGAAGATGAGAGAGAGAAGATGAGAGAGAGAGATAATATGAGAGAGAGAGAGAAGATGAGAGAGAGAGAGAAGATGAGAGAGAGAGAGAGAAGATGTGACAGAGAGAGTGTTGCTTTGTGGCCATTAAGGGCATAGTTGCCTTCTTGCACCTCCATCTGTTAACACACATAAAATGTTTTTCATACTGAAACGGTACTTTTTAGAGGTGACTTAGAAGTGATGCAGCCAATCATGTGTAAACAAGGCTTTAATAAAGAAGATTGGCTCCTACCTGTATTTGATCTTCCAGCATTTACTGATGGCTTCCATGGCGGCAGGGGGCTCTATCATCATGGCCTCCAAGATCCAATTCACTGCACACATCTGACGAAATATGGCTTTCCTGTATCGATCAAAACAAGATGGTCTTCCGTTAAAGACTTCTCATGTTAATGTCATCAGAACAAAACAAATGCCTGGATTGTACCTTATACAGTATTTATTCATCCTTGAAACTGATACAAGGATTTCGTCCAAGCACTGTAAAATTGTTCGACTGAACTTGCAGCACAACAGTGGCAATTTTCTTGCACAATACATCGATTTCTTTATCTTTTCCTGTGTCAACGAAAAGATAAGGATCTTCTGTTTAATGGCTACTGATATTAATGCCATCAGAACAACAAATATCTTCAATCAAACTTTATAAAATATTAATTTATGCCTAATTACCGCGACACATATTCTGTCTAAGCAAACCTATTAACCTTGTACATTAGATAGAAACTAGATGGAATTTTGACTGCGCGCAGTCGAAAATGATGCCTCCGCCATAGAGCAATTTAAACAAGTTTGGAGTTTAAATCTCCAGTGGTTCTTGAGATATCATGATAACAATCTCAATGTATGGAATTTCATAAGTTGACCTCTGTGACCCTTGACCTTTGACCTACGTGCTCCAAAATCTAATCAGATTGTCTTCCTATGGTGATACACACTATTATTAAGTTTGAAGTTTATTTCTCCAGTGGTTCTTGAGATATTATGATATGGTGATACATACTATCATTAAGTTTGAAGTGAAAATTCTCCAGTGGTTCTTGAGATATCACGATAACGATCTCAATGTATGGAATTTCATAAGTTGACCTCTGTGACCCTTGACCTTTGACCTACGTGCTCCAAAATCTAATCAGATTGTCTTCCTATGGTGATACACACTATCATTAAGTTTGAAGTTTAAATCTCCAGTGGTTCTTGAGATATTATGATAACAATCTCAATGTATGGAATTTCATAAGTTGACCTCTGTGACCCTTGACCTTTGACCTACGTGCTCCAAAATCTAATCAGATCGTCTTCCTATGGTGATACATACTATCCTTAAGTTTGAAGTTTTTACATCTCCAGTGGTTCTTGAGATATCATGATAACAATCTCAATGTATGGAATTTCATAAGTTGACCTCTGTGACCCTTGACCTTTGACATACGTGCTCCAAAATCTAATCAGATCGTCTTTCTATGGTGATACATACTATCCTTAAGTTTGAAGTTTAAATCTCAAATGGTTCTTGAGATATCGCGCTAACAAACTCAATACAAGGAATTTCATAAGTTGACCTCTGTGACCTGTGACCTTTGACCTACGTACTCCAAAATCTAATCAGATCGTCTTCCTATGGTGATAAATACTATTAACGAGTCTTAAGTTTAAATCTTAAATGGTTCTTGAGATATTGTGATAACGGTCAAACGGGACGGACGTACGGACGGACAACCCGAAAACATGATGCCTCCGGCACCACCTCCGGTGGCGGAGGCATAAAAAAGACCATATTATCATCATTATTGATCATCATTAACAAGCCTTACTTGTCCGTTTCATCTCCTTCCGGATCAATATTGATGTTGGTATGGCAGGGAGTGTAAGGGCGTGCCGGCTCCACCAGTCGCTTGTTCCGCCTCCTCTTGGTGGGTGACGATGCCCCGCTCAGGATGGACTTGGATGGTGTCGTTGCCATGGCAGTGGTCGTCATGGCAGCAGTGGAAAGACGAGTTGCATCACCCTGCTCTGTTGTCAGGTTGTCAGGGACTGTAGTACTTGCTGCATCGCTGTGTAGAGAATAAATGTTGGAAGCATTTGATACCTGGATAACTTACATTGTGTATCTACGATTTAATATGTATATGATATGAGTACAAACTTGTAATCAAAAGTTTTACCAATTTTCTGCTATTTACTCCCGAGCTGAGGCTTATAATATTTAAAAATTTATATCAATTTGTTGAGTGCATATTGTATATCAAATGCAGAGAGTGAATAAAAAGAAGGGGAGTGTAAAAGTTTGCTGATATAAAGAGGGCAAGTACCAAGGACGTCCAAAATAAATTTAGCAACATATACATCTTAACCTGAACCCTCAGGAAATAATTTGCAAATTGGCAACAACAAAAGAAATTTATAATGATAATATCTGAAATATCTAGTATATTATAAAACTGAATGAGATGCCTTGCTTCTTGGATATGAAGTCATCATAGCCCTTACATTGCGACTGCAAAATTCTTGAGGGGAGGGGGACACTATGTCACACCACCTTGTTTACCTACGATAATGACTATACTTACAATGCAAAAGACACCTCTTTTCTGCTCTCTGCCCCCTGAGCCATATAAACACTGAAATACAAACATAGAAACACATTAAACATGACAAACATACTTATCATCTTTAATGAACGATATTCACATTATAAAGTGAATGGTTAGAAGACAGGATTGTTAACTTGTTTCATTTTACTTCACAAAATTCAAATGTACATCAAGATACCATTAAGCTGAATAGCAAACATCTATTTCCAAATGACAATGACACAAGACAATTGTGCATGTTCAGAGGCTATGTTTACAGTACATGGTTGCACATGCATTGCAAGCTATTTTCATGTTATTGCTGGTGTAAGATTAGTGACCCTGCAACAATTCAACAACTTTGCAAACTCAAATCCTTGCAAAATTAAAGGCTTTAAAGCCTGTCTGCACTAGTTTGGCCAGGAGGGTCCAGACCTCCCTGCATGGTCACTGACAGGTGGTTATCTCATCAAATTAGCTCTCATTTAATATGAGAAAAAGGGGACCATGGGGGACCAACGGTCACCGCTTAGGCATTGTTTGCTATATAGAGGGCACAAGTAGCTATAAGTAGTGCAGTGTGGCTTTAAGCATACCTAAGACTTTCTTCTTTCTCCAGCTCTTCATCTGTCTCCTCTCCATCTGAGACCACGACAACAGCTGGTTGCCATTCTGTCTTCCTTTGTTCTTCTTTTCTCCTTCTCTCATTGTGTTCTGCATTCACCTATATCGGGAACAATCATTCAAAATTAAAATATAATCTATGAGAAATGTTGTGCAGGAACAATGTATGGTAAACGTTGGATAGGAATTATCATTAAAAATCAAAATAATATTGTCTATGAGAAATGTTGTACAGGAGCAATGTATGATAAATGTTGTACAGGAACAATCATTTGAAATCAAGATACCATCTACGGTACAAGAAATGTTGTATGGGAACAATGTATGATAAATGTTGTACTGGAACAATTGTTTGAAGAAAAAAATATATCATCTATGAGAAATGTTGTACGGAAACAATGCATAATAAATGTTGTACTGGAACAATATTAAAAATGAAAATAATATCATCTATGAGAAATGTTGTACAGGAACAATGATTTGAAATTAAAATATCATCTAGGAGAAATGTTGTACAAAAACAATCATTAAGAATCAAAATAATATCATCTATGAGAAATGTTGTACAGGAACAATCTATGAGAAATGTTATATGGGAACAATCATTCAAAATCAAAATAATATCATCTATGAGAAATGTATGTACTAAAATATGGCCTTGAGGACAGACGCAACTTCTACATTTAAACAATGATACTATATAAAATTCAAATAGAATATATATATTTTTTTTAATTAAAGAAATCATATCATCAGTTTGGAGCCTGAAGAGCATTAACTTTGCGTAAAATGATATGATTTTAATGCATCCTGGCTTTAAACAGACAGTATTGTTGGTCAAAATTAAGTACATATATATCAAACAATTTTTGTTTTAACTTTCTGGATGCAAATTAAATTTTTATGACAAAAAAGGAGAAACTTACCCTTAATTCCTCTTGCTCTCTGATCATTGTGAAGACCCCATGACCCAGTTTAGCACATTTTACCATCACTCTGGTAACAGAATAGGAAAAAAAATACTATTAGCTAAAGTCTCCATTTGCTTCAAGATTGCTTCGATATCATTGCCCAAGATCATGGTTAGGTATTGTGTTGCGCTAGCTGGGTCCTAATATAAGTTAGAAGTATTAATTTGGTTAGTGCAAGAAAAGTAACAAAGCATATAAATTAATAATAATTATTATAACAATGGCGGCTTCTTGTTAATGCACATGTCCATCATGCTGTGATGCTCCTGAAGCTACAACATTATTAACCCAATTATAGCCGAAGGGGCGAAATATGTACCGCACAAGCATATCTGGTACCCATTAACACCTGGGTGGAGAGTGGCAAATGCCGAGTGTCTTGCCAAAAGTTGTTAACGCCAGGCTGGGATTCAAACCCTCAACCCTTTGAGAGTCAGTCAAGTGAATGACCTACTATATACTACCACACTTCCATGTGCTGTACAACGGTACTCACCTGCCAGTAGACACCTCCTTATGAAGAGACTTATGGCTGTTGTTGTTCCTCCTGACCACAAACTTATACGGCTTGACCGCAGCAGGGTTCTCCTCCGCCCCATCTCCACCTTGACCATCTTTGCTCTGGTCATCCTCCTTCTCACTGGACACACCCTTTGACTTGGATGCAGATGAGTTCTGGAAAGAAACATAAAAATTTATTACAGGCAATTATTTAATTTATATATTATCAATTAACATGACATGATGATTCTATATGATTGAACAACCATCCTCTGAGAACGCTAAATAATTTTTTGTTAACTGCCCAAAAATAGCTAATGTTTACCATGACTAGTGTTTTGTTTGCTGAAATCCAGCTTGCTTCCCTTTGCACCAGAAACTGACAAACAATATATGCATTATGCATAATAATCATAATGAATATATATTTATAAAAGTGTGGTAACTTTACTACGATACAATTATTAACAAGTAGTGTACTCGCATTAAATAGGAGAAAAGAAAGGAGTTGAAAAAACCTCATCTTCAGGAGTAAGCCTCTTGTTCCAACTGATCTATGAACATTGTAAGCCACTGCTGGCTGGGTGACTTTAGTGGAGCTTTATATAGGTAAAATGATGACCACTGGGACCACTGATTTAAGGTTTTATTACTCATTTTGGTTCGTCCTTTAATATATAAAAACTGTAATTCATTAGAATCCTGCAAGGAGTAAACTTTGAAAAATCATATTTTCGCTGTTCCTTCATTTTCAGTATCAATTGCATGTGTCTGTTAGATTAAATATAAATTATACTCATTCATTTTGACCTGTTTCACTATTTATTAGAGAACAAACTAAGCGTATATTTATTTCAAGAGAGAATATGGATTAAGGGGGAAAGTTGATAGTACTTACATTCTGTTTGAGTTGACCTAGCGCCGAGAGAATTAGCTGTTTTTCATCCAGAACAACTGGTCCTCCTAAAACCTGATAAGGTTTATGATTTACAGAATTATAACCTTGTTCATTCAGCTGTTTTGTTCTTCGGGCATAATTATCATGAAAAACATCTTCCCTCGCCGGTGAGGCGCAGTTATAATGGCTGCCTGATCGTGCAAGAATTTGTAGACCTTGATGCGACTTCAGCGGCAGGGGCTTGGTATGGAGTACGCCATCCTCTTTCACCGCCAGAACTCCGGGGAAGTGTCCGCCCGCCGCCGCGGTACGGTAAATATCGTTGACGGCTTCATGCGACTTGACTGGAGCTGATTTCGACTGGGCGTACGAGTGCCCCTTCACAGGCATCGTTTTCGCGAAAACCATCAATCTGTCCCGACTATTTTATTTATTCCTTAATAAAGTATTACATGGTTATGTATTCATGATATCAATTTGAGATCCAACTTGAGTGGATGAGTTTCAAACAAACCTCGAAACCAGCTCCGAAAACGTCATAGACCGCGACCGGACGAGCGTTCGCTTGTTCGTCGCAGCTACAAATCTGTTGTTTCGTTGAAGAAATTATTGCTTGTTTTGATGATTCAGTTAATCTGGCTCACACTATATTCTTTCCAGTTTCTCCAAGGTTGATTAATTCCAAAATTAAGTTAGAATGACGATTGGTAGTTGATATAACGTCTTCTACGGATAATTAAATCATGACGAGTATCCCTTGAATTCCTCATTGAGCAGAATGAGGGGTAATACTTCTTCACGCTTGCCTACACATCACGGATGGGATAGGGTCTTTACCGTCTGTGTATTGTGATCTCTTCTAACTTTTCACCTCCCTCTCCTAGCATTAAACATACTCATAAATAGGTTACAAATCTTATAAAAATCACTTTCCAATACATTAGATTGCTTTCTTTAATATGTTTACATATTATTTCATCATAAGTAAGGAAGAATTTCGTAAAAATATATGTTTTGATATCAAATATTAACCTTGCGAGACCAGGGTTAAGGGAGGGTGAGCACTAGAAATACCAGCCGATTACCTGCCCGCTCTGTAGTTGCTATGTAACGCAGGTAAACTATTGTGCTGTTAACGTGTCTCGCACTGGTAATTTTTGGTGCTACAAACGGGTGCTACTGTGTAGGACCTCGGTTAATTGTTTACCTGGCTCACAAAGGGATGAAACGAGAAAGACACTTGCTTCTGTTGAGCACCTGTGGCCATTGTTGACGTATATAATAACACTTTAAGTAACTGTTTCTATTTATAGCGAGGAAAAGAATAGGAGAACGCTTTGCGGTCCGAGTATGTTAGAATAATCTGCGACATGAAATATATTATATCTTTCTTTGTTTTTTTTCCTTCTTTTTCTTCGTCTTCTTCTTCTTCTCCTCCTTCTTCTCCTCCTCCTCCTCCTCCTCCTCTTCTTCTTCTTCTTCTTCTTCTCCTTCTTCTTCTTCTTCTTCTTCTTCTTCTTTTTATTTTCTTCTTCTCCTTTTTACTTTCTTTCCCTTTCTCTCCGTTTTCTTTTTTTTCTTTCTTTCTCTCTTTTTGTCTTCTTGATAGTGTTTGGGGTAGATTTGGTTTACATGGGGCACATGACACCGGAGAATGAAATATAAAATCAAGTTATTATAGGCCTAGTTATCTTTTTTCAGAATCAAATCATCCGGATAAAGGCATTTCCAGTCGGGCCATGATCATCATGAACTGTGCGTTATTTTGATATTTACCCCTACCCTTGCTTTTTAAGGTTCTCTGTTCAAAATGCCCTGCCAAATGCTCCTAGGATTTCGCTTTGGATCGTTCACTTTAGGTCCGTAAAATGTATTATTTTGATGAGATAGATAAGCTGTATTAAAAAGTCATGGCATCTCACAAAGGTTTCGAAGGGGGGGGGGGGGGGGGGGGGGGGGGGTGTGAGTGTGCGAGGTATTGCGCGCATGATCGGAAATCTTTATTTTTCTTCAATCGTCCGAAATTCTCTGACAAGCCTCTAAATAAACATCCCTTCCTCCAAACAAACAAACGAACAGAGGTAATCTTCTTTTTACGTGAACGCTTTTTCTGACAAACAAGTAAAGATAAAAAATATAAATAAATACAAACATGTTCGCATGCACGCTTGTACCAGTCAAATTGTCTGACAATTCTTCCCCCCCCCCCCCCCCCCCACATCTTACGAGCCTGGCAAACCAGCGATGAACTTGACTTTGACTAAAGGGGAATTATAGAACTCCGCCATCAACGTTTAAAACGTGACCTAACGGGGCATTTAGATTTCAATGAGACACCTCCCCCCCCCCCCCCTCACATCGCCCCTATGGATGCATCCCTATCTCTTTCTCATTCTGTCATTCATTCTCTCTCTCTCTCTTTCTCTCTCTCTCTCCCTCTCAGAGCATATAAAACACTACATTTAAGAGTAGAAGATTTACCTATCACCCTCTCGGCTTATTTTTCTCTCGGTTTACCAATCATTATCATCCCTCGTCATTTCTATTATCCCGACTCCCTACCTTTCCTCCTCTTCTTCTTTCTCCTTCACCTCCTCTTCCTCCCTCCACCCCCTCTTCCTATGCTATCTTACCCCCCCCCCCCTCATTACTGTTCATCATCGCACGACTCTCGTTTAAGATACACCCCCCCCCCCGCCCCAACCTCAGTCGGATTCAGGTAACAGTCACCCCATTTTCTGGCAGCTCAGTAGTCTCTTTGCATATTCCTTACCGAATCTAGTTTTGATAAAATTAAATCGAAAGGGCTATTTGAAAAGAATGCTACATTACGCACTCTGTCACTAAAATAAAAAATAATGTAACAAATTGTCCTCGTATGCTTCATTCGCGTGGGAAACTCATGAACCCAAGTTTATATTCTGACAAGAGGCGTCAACCATCTTGGAAAATCGTGACTATACGCCTGTGGTTACCCGTCAGATAACAATCTCCATTTTCAATGTTGGATGTAAATGTTTAAACCTCGAACAAACCAAGGAGGTAGGAAGCTTATTGTGCGTGTGAAAGTCTCGATTCAAGGCTACGTCATACGCATCATTAGTGTCATGAGTCCTCTTCTTGTCTCCGAGCGAAGTGTCATGAAAAAAACATCTGCCCATTTTTTTCCCACACCATCGTGAACACTGGGTGCTTTGTTTCTGTCCCCTAAACATGAAAATTAGATCAAGCAGACGATAAACATTAAGTGACAAAATGGTAACAAGGTTTCCCGCCAAAATAATCATAAATGAAGAGGAAACGGGTAGATTTAGCTAGCGAGGACACAGCCATCATGGATGACAAAAATGACTTTGGCAATCATGAACACAAGCTTGGAATAATCTTCCCATAGCGGGCACACTACACTTGGATAGGCCGAAATAATAGATGTAGGTAACATCCTTATGTAGGGTAATAACATGCACCCGCCCCCTTGCCCTTTAGTTGCCAAAACGTAGATCGGTCGGCCGGAATTTTTTTCTCTCGCCCTCTTTGGGATGATATTTTCCAGTTTTGAATGCTTGGATATTTTTCTCTCTAAAAACGGTAAACAATTGATGAAGAAACACTAAGGAGAAACAGACCAGTGAAAATTTGGGCAAAGTCCGATTCAAAATCAGAAAATTTTGGATCGAAGTTGCATTCGATCAAACACATTATGGCAACTCTGTGACGTATCTTCCGAGTCCTCTCCCGTTTGCTCTCGACTAAAAGAAATTATAAATTTGTATGTTCTCAAGCCTTTTTCAATCACCCATGCACCTTATTATCATTGCACACATATGTTTTTACACGACCCCTGTATAATATATGACACAAATCTATTCCTTTATTGATTGATTGATTGATTTTTATTCGCCAAGCTTCCAACATACAACAATACACAAGAATAACAGATCAAAATTAAGTCAGCTTGAACAGGATAACCCACGAAAGCTCAAGAGCTTATTTTCAGTGGATATTTCAGTGGACATGAAATTCAGAGCAGAGGATTTAGTAAGAGAAAGGGACTGTCACAGTAAAGCAGGGGGTCGTGTAAAGGGATCAGTCATTAATTAAAAACGTTAATTCGAAGTTGAGAACAAATTAATTTTCAAAGCCAAGCATCGTCCATATGGTCATCACTGTCACGTCCTATGGCAGCTGTTTAAAGGTATCGGTCCAAACCTTTGTCAGTGCCAAATAGGATCCTCTTCCCAACCCCCTCTCCAGTCGTAAAGTTTTATGATACATTGTTGATTCATACTAATGACAGATAGAAATAAGGCTGGATACAGCCCACGGACCGGTATCCCACGGAACCGACGATGCCGAACTGTCTCTCTCGTGGGCTTTCTCGCCTCTTTTTTTGAGGGTTTACGAAACAGATTTTTTAAATTCATATATTCTATTTATCTATTTATTTGTTTATTTATTTATTCAAAATGCTCTATTGATGATTAAAAGATGATCGGGGCTGGTGGGCCGATTTAGATACTTGTATGCAATGGATAAATACATGTAACATCAGTAATGTGATATATTTCCCTTATGTATTTCTCTTTCTTTTCGGTCTCGTGTGATATCAGTCTTGTGGATCTCTTGGAACCGTCTTCTTTCTACATTTTCTTAATGCATTCCTGTGTTTCGACGGTCTCATGGGATTTCGGTGTTGTTGATTGTTGGTCTTTTGGGATATTTCCAATAAGGATGCGACTTAATTAATCTTGAGGTAACGAGAGTCACGATCGCCTTCCGTCGCCCCCCCCCCCCCCTCTCTCTCTCTCTCTCTCTCTCTCTCTCTCTCCCTCTCATTCTCTCTCTCTCTCTCTCTCTCTCTCTCTCTCCTACTCATATAATCTGGTTTTTTTTCTCTCTACCTATCTCTTATTTACATCCTCCTATTTGTTTTTATTTCTGTGATTGTTTGTGCTTGTTTTATACCCATTTCCAGCCATTATAAACGTTATTCCTGATGATTTGATGGAAGTATAATCAGTAAACCTCTATTGTGAATTTTTTCTCTCTCTTTTTCTTAACTTTTGCAACATCTTTCATAATATTGGGCATACACTGCAAGGCACAATACCATAAAGTGTTATTCAATCAATTTCTTAAACTGCTATACAACAACATTATAGAATAAATAGATTATAATAGTTCTGTATTTTACCTGTTTTATATGTTATTTTTTGACATTTCGTTTAATAATCATTAAACCTATATTTCAGTTAAGTTTCATAAAACAATCATCAACTGTTTGACGCAAGACTGAAAAGAAAAATATCAGGACGCCTTGAATTGCGTATAAAAACATTTTATTTCAATCATACAGCAGTATCATAACAGTATCATATCATCTCATAATAAACAAAACGACCATTCTCCGCATAATATTAATACATAATTATAATTATAAAAAATAAAATTCCATTTGAAATGGATAGAGCACCATATTGATAATGTTACGGACAATCATACAAGTATTTGAAACAAACCGAAACAAAAACACAAAGGGTTGGTGCTGATGTCCTAATAAAATGGCAATTAAATTAAACAAAAACGCGTACTTTTTAAGACGTCCATGACTATAAAAATAATGAAACATAAACTCATTCAATTCATGCATGAAAGGCATCATCTTTTGAAATATGTCTATTTTAAATTTACCTATTGCATAACCCGATAATCCGAACATTATTTTCTAAGAACATTACAGTCTGCCGGTAGGATATGAAATTTGCCCGCATTTCTTTTCTTTTTCGGGGGGGGGGGGGATTGGCATGATTTATCCGATAAGCATAATAATTTCTTCGTGTTTCTCAAGCAAGCATATGCTGCGTAATGTCAAAATGATTGCTTATCGCCAAGAAGTATACATGGAAGTGCTGACATCCGTCTACTTTTGGCGAGGATTCAACAGAGAATCTCTAGTATTGTAGACAGGGGCGCATCCTGAATGTCAGAATTATGTGGGAGGGGGTGAAATAATTTCCCCCGGTACGACATTTCCCCCTATAATATGCCTTTCCGAAGTACATTTCTACCCCAGAGACTATGTGACGTAGGAAGGGTGACGAAATTTGTAGTTTCAACCAGCCACCTTATTTTTAACTTGGAAATGGGGAGATAATGGTCGAAATCAAAACATTAAAAGTAACGTAGACCCCCCCCCCCTCCCTTAAGCCCATGTCTGCAAATCAGTACCCAGGTTATTTTAGCAACCCCCATACTTATCTTCTAGTCCTTCACGACACGAATCTCCCACAAAGTAGTGCAGGGGGTGGGGGGGGGGGGGGGGCTCTTACCCAAATTGAATGACGAACATTGAAAGGGAACGTGGGAATATAAACCCTTCTCTTATATTACCCCCGGACGTTTAGCCCCATAGCATTTTCATCTTTCCATCCACCTACACGCACCTCTCCACCCCACTGCAACGACGATCAGCGCCCCTCTCCCATCGGGCCATCATTTAACCTACGATACGCTACGCCATACACTGACTACACACGCCAAACGTGACAGACATGCAGTTAATCCGTGTCTGTGCATCATTCTTGGAAAGATTTGCGCAAATCAAAGTCTAGACAAAGTGCATCATTGATTCTTATCACATCAAAGACCTTTATCATTTAACCAGCTGGATGACACTCTCAAAAAGAAGGATGGAGATAAGAGGATGCGTCATTCGTTTGGAACCAAGATAAAAACGGTTCATCGCTAACCAAGTTTAAATTACATCTAAAGCATAACCGCCTTAAATGTTAACCTATATTGTGTACTCAGGTTTACATCATAATATCTGTAGATGTTCAATAGATTATTATATGCGTATCCCATGTACAATTGAATAAAAGCAGTTTTATCTTGACCTCGTTCTCAAACATTGATTATTCTGTTTTGCTTAGTTGCTCAGTGATCTCAATTAAATATCTAAGCACTTTTGCCAGTTCGTACTCAGTTTCAATTTTTTTTTCTTTAGTGAAACAATCTTCAGTTGTTGTTTAAAATATGTGTATATGCATTTATATTATTCATCTTCTAAGAAACTTCAAAAGAGTTTAACAAAACTCATTGCCATTTAATGATAAAGTTGCAGTTACTTTTAAATTTAAATTACTAACACGGGGAAAACTCAAATCCGTTGCATTGTAAATTTCAATGCATTGATGTCAATGTCATCACAAACTCGTAACCTTCTATTTGGTATAACGTGAAGGGATCCGAATGTATCTAGTATTGATGTGAATCCCGGATTCAAAATTACGATGTCCTTTAAGATTAATAATTCTTGGAACCTATCATCAGAATCATGATTATGATTTGATTTAAAGAAGAAAATGAAGCGAACTTATCAAACTCGCAGAAGGTCTACGATTGTCTATCTCTCGAGCTGCATTCGACAGCTAAATTCCACCCCTCCTCCCCCTACCCGATGGCCCCACCGGAAGTGATTCCTCCCCCATATTGACTCACTTTTCTCTGGATACGCCGCCGCTCTGCAATGTCACGCTGATGTTCCTGTCATTTAAAAGATAGCGAGCCACGCCCACACCGATTACATGTATTATGTAATGCAATATCCAGGTTAACTAACACGCGATCTTATTTTAATACACTGGCATGAGCAAACGTAGGCCCTATTCTACTTACAAAATGATAACTGCGATAAGATAATGAAAGCCCATTGATAGATTCACAGAATCAACTAGGATAAGATCCTCACATCCGGGATACTATTTAATTTAATTCAAATTAGGTTTCATTCAATCTCGTCAAATTAATAGTCCAAAGACTAAAAATTGCGAGTTTACATCAAACATAAAACCATATAAAAAGCATTCATTACTAGAGAGTGAGAGACCTTCAATTTCTTTCCAACTTCTATTTATTAAAAAAAGATATTGCATGTTAGGACGCCCTAAGACAAATTTTTCACTGCTGGAAAAAACAAAAACATTCAGTCCATGTTGCACTCTTTTTTTTTTGTACAGTATTTACTTCACATGGCGCGCCAAAGGCCTTGCCAATCACTGACACAGTCCTACGTCCCAAAAAATGACGTCCCATTCTTTGCGACAGGCATTATGACTTCGCACTCGGTCGTCACATAGGTCCTTCTAATGTACATGTAAACATTTTCAAAATATACAATAAAATAACTACATAAAGTACCATGTTAAAATGTAAGCTCCGTCGTCATTTTCAGAAACTCGTCCATTTATATACGATATGAAAATATCAGATGATTCATGGATTCCGCTAATGGACAGTCTTTGACGATCTTAATCATCGTCCCGTACCGATCATCGTCTGTTATTTACCGTATAGTTCTATATGCGACATCACAGTTTTAGTCACTGACATGGAAAATATTCTAGCAAGCAACCTCACTCAGAACATCATTGTCATCATCAATGTTTTTGTCTACTACCTGCGTTCCGCGTGTTCTTTTAATTTTTGCATAAACTGGAATCTTCTTTGGCGCTTCTGTCTCGTTGTTCGACTTTGTTTCCGCTAGAGTCTGCTCGGGTAAAGACGTTTGATCCTTCTGTTCAAGGACGTCTATGGTCGCGTACGGCGACGACATGTCGCAATCCATGACATCGTCACTGCTTGCGGCATCGTACCCGCTCTCGTAGCTACTGGCGAGAGACAGGGCGAAGTCTTTCATGCCTTGGTTGCCAGTCTCATGCAAGGTATGTTGATAGTTCGGTCGGGAGCAGTCGGAACTCGTTGGTGAAGCTGCTCTCGGCGGAGAATCAATCTCGGCGTATTCATCACCAGCAGGTGAGAAGGCTGCAGTCACCTGGGATCTCCTGTACCCACCATAAGGCATCGTATCTGACATGACACGCCGTATACCTGACATCGTTACACTGTCTCCGCTACTCTCGGTTGCGCTAGATCCCTTCGTAAACGAGTCTCTTGGAATGCTGTAATGGCTTCTGTTCATGATCGCTTCGATGGGTGCAGCGGGTAAAGGCCTTAGACAGCTCTTGCTCCTTCTCAGAGACGACGTCCCACTTCCGAGGGTCACATCCGTAATAGCATACGCTGCGACAGTACTCATGTCTCCGTCACCTGTGGAAATTTGCGAATCAGGTCGCACATAGTCATTCATTTGAACTCCAGCTGGTGTCCTCAAGCTTGCATCCCTGCGCAGGACATTGTATTCTGAACTAGAGTCGTTCATGATCATATGACTGCAGGTGCGCTCAAGACGACGTACTTTTCGTTTTCCAGGTTCTAAGGTAAAATATTTAGGTCCTAAACACTCTTCGTCGTCACATTCCATCTCGGTGCTCTCGCTATTCAGTGTTCTGTTGGCAGGTGACACATCCGAGCCGGGATGTCGAAGGTCATCCATTGGAATGTCGCCTCTGCGGGAGTCGTCTTTGTCCGTCGTACTGCCATGAGCGACGCGATTTTGTCGAACAAGAAAGAGCAAGAGAACGGCGATGACGCAAACAAGCAGGACAGCAATGACCGATCCGATGGCTACTACTGGAACCATCATGTTAGACCACTTGTTGACACCAGTGCTTCCAATGCCCGATGGAAGGTCATTACTATCAACAGCCACATTAGCCGGAGCAATTGAAGATCGAGAGATTTCATTCTTAAGGGTTGTAGTTTCTGCTGGTTGATTCGTAACCGTTTGGTTTTGTGCAATAGTCGGTTTTACAGGCCCTGAAGGCGGCACACCATGAGAGTTTGATGTGGTTGTTTGCGGAACGCTTGTCAGTGTATCTGTGTTAGGTTGCCTTGTCAATCCTTGATCTACGTTGATCATTTGAGTGCCCACTGGCACGCTAGATGAATCTTGCGATTCTTCAACTACCGCCGCTGTGGTCACGGACAAAGTGTTCTTGGGGTAAACTTGCAGAATGGAGCTAGCATTTCCGGTCATTTCCGCGATGTCATCACGCGTCCTGCATTCAACCACGGTGTTGTTATGAGCCAAAGTGACAGGGGAGAAGAGATACTTATCCTTTCTCGCATTGTAATCCCTGATGCCATTGATATACCATTCATATTTCAAGGGGTTTTTACTTGCTATGATGCATCTGAATGAAGCATCCTGACCTTGCACTGCCTGCATCTTCTTCGGAAAAAGAATCACAGGAACATTCGAATCGAGAGGGGTAACGGTACACCCCTTGCGGAAACTAGGCTCTCCTACCGATGCTTCTTTGCACATGTAACTTTCACCAAAGTCGGTCGGTCGGAGCGTGATATTCAATTGGCTATAGCGAGTGTTTCCTGTCTGATTGATGTTTGTTGAGCCAAAGATTACTTGTTCTGGTTGCGCAGGTCTGTGCCACGATAGGCTCACATCGAGACCCTGATTATGTGAAACGCAAGAGAGTGTAACAGTCACGCCTGGTGCCGGCGGCTCTGAAGACGAAACGCCACATGTTGGTGGTTCAACAACGACCAAAGACACCGGAGTCGACATGACCGGTTGCTTGGTTAGAGTTGAAAGCACACCGCACGCGTATGTACCATTGTCGGCCCTGGTCACCTGCCGAAAGACCAGATGGTATTCCCCTAATGCTACGTTGCCTTCGATCCTCAGACGCCTCCTGAGGGCACGTTTGATGATCTTACCGTCGGTACTGAGGATGACATTTGTGTCAATCCGGAACCATCGGACGGACTCGCTTCCTTGGTCTGCCACTCGACAGGTCAGCCTGGCGTAGGTTCCTAGGTTACTAACAGTACTGGTTGGACCTTCTAAGATAGTTATTGAAGTTGCGACACCTGCCCAGAGACCGATGAGCACGAGAGGGAGGAGGGACATCTGAGCTCGAGACATGATGACTGGAAATCTGTGGAAAGAACAGAATACAAGGACAATGTTAAATACGGAATAAACGAATATCGTAAACATTATCATATGAAAGTGAACGGGGTAGTAGAGGGGCAGATAGATAGGAGCTTAAGAGAGGAGCAGGGAGAGAGGAAAGCAAGAGAAAAGGTAGGGGAGTACGACTAGATGGCATATCTTTACCTTTTTTAATTTGTTCATAGACATTTTATCAATTAAAATCAGAAGCCATTTGAATGTTGTTTACGATTTTCACAAAAGATTCCAGAAAAAGCACACAATAAGAAGACTCAAGGACTTGATGAACTTTTTAAAAAGTTTTTGACTGCGACGCATTTTTCTAAATGCTCCTAAAATTTCACGATTTAAACAAGGTCATGTCTGGGTAAGCTCTATAGCAATGCTCATCTACCCCACTCGGGTTTACTCTCAAAACAAATGCATGTGACGCAAAACCGTTTAAGCTTTGAAGAAAGATTTTTTTGAGAGAGAGAGCGGAATTGAAGTTCATTGGCACGTTTTGGTTTGAGTCATAGAAGGGTGCGAAACTTAGTCTCAATCGACAGACGCCGGTTTAACGAAAGTACATTAGCTCCTAGAGTTAGGGGCGGGTTCAAGCTCTCATGTCTGGTGAAATAGATGGTTCATGGGTAACCCTAATATACTCAGATACTATAGGGCTATGCCGCTCACTTTCCCATTTCCAGTTGAATCATAACATCATATAAATACGTATTTCTGTTTTCGTGTTTTAGTTTGCTCGTTTTTCTTTTCAAACATTGCCTTTTCGTCACCAAAGCTACATGGAGATGTTTTTTTCTATTTTCAATATTTCCCTAAATTTTCTTATCCTCTTTATTCTCTTTCCTGTTTTTCCTTCTTTAATATGTTAATACTTTTTTGTTCACACTTCAACCCCTCCCTCTCTTTCTCTTTCTCTCTCTTTAAGTTTTCGACCCCATCTTTAAATTTCTCGACTGTCTCTTCTCTTATCTTTTTTCTCTCGCTCCCCCATACCTTAAAGATAAACTCCAGTTCTGGTAAAAAAAAAAGAAAATTAATTCTCACAGAATCAAACAAAATTTACACTGAATGTTCAAGATTACAAATAAATGACATGTGCCAAACAATTTTGGAAGAAAATGTATACTGGCTGAGTAATGAGCATAGAAAGACAAGGAAATCAAGGTAGTACTAGCCCCGACACCATGTGTGTTGTCCCATATATAGCTTTCTGTGTACAGTGCTTGTTACTTTACCAAGACTCGGTCAAATTTATTATGATTTTGATGACTCCAGAACCTTGCAGTGCACATCAATACTTACATGCTACATGATCAACTGTTTCTGATCCTTTCCACACCTTTTCTTTTACAATGTAATCGCATTACCAGTACTAAAGTTTATCTTTAAATACTCTCTTCATGCCCTTCTCCGCTCACTCTCGCTCTATCCTTGTCTTTCTTGTGAATTTGACAGGCCTATGTTAAATGGTGAGTATAGTGGAACGTAAAGTGTGGAAAGTGGAAAGTACTGAATATCATTTTTACCTCTAATAGATGGAGAACGAGTGATTCATGCAGTAATTAACCATTTAACCAGTGTTTTCTAAAGACTATAATACCACTGCGTGCCAGTAAACAGACGGAACCATCTTTGGTGATACATTTAGCAATGGTCAAGGGATCTCTATACAGGATGTGGGGGAGGACGGCCAACTCAGAGAGGTCGTTAAGATTTCCTCTTTTAATATCAACTTACAAATCAACACCACTGCATAACCACAGCGAAGAGACTTCATACATTGGTATACATGCACATTTGTTTCAGAAGATGTATTGACATCTTTTTTACAGAATTTCGTGAACTCTTGATACATGCGGATGTTTTGGAAATTGTGGGAAATCCCAGACACAACTAGATATCTAAGATCTACATCGCAATTATGTATTCATCCCGTGGTGCTGTTCTATCAAATAATTATGTTAATGACGACTCAAACCAAATTATTCGTTGCCATTATAAGAATATACAAATCATTTATATATTATACATAATGATATACTGCTAGTGAACATAGAAAAAAAAACGAATTTCACCTTGACAACAAATATGTTTCTTAGTTTGATTATTTAAGAAAACGTCTATGTAGCGAATAGACTGTAGTCGTTAGTAACCATGGTTACGATAACATAATAACCAGTACAAACTTAGCATTTTCATACGCTCCCCAAACTAAATGATCTCTTCAAACTTTAAGGACACCCTACGATTTGATACACTTTGTTTGTATTTGATCATAACAATACTTTGTGTTGTACGTGTTTGGGTGAAAAACAAAATTATGTAAAATTAATATCCTCGTTAGCGCCGGTCAATTACCCCGACACCCGGCCGGCTGCCGTGACCCGAATAAGCTTAACATCTGTTTCAAGACACTTTTGATACAATTGGGGAGACTGTCTGGATGTTTAGCCCCCAAAACAGGAACATTATGACTATGTGATTACACTCCCGTCACACTAAGGAGAACGACACCGTCAAAACGAGACCAACAACAGATTGAACAAAGAGTTCACTGCTTCTATATAGGGGCCAAGAATCGGTCGCTTTGGGATCAGTTCATATTGATATTTTATTATTATTTATATCATTATTATCATTATTTTCTGTATTATCATTATTATTATTCATTTATTTATTAATTTTACCAATTATAACCAGCATAAATACGAGAAAAAGGAGAATACATAATAAGTATATAAAGAATAAAAAGAGAGGGAGCAGCAAGTGGGTCAGGGTGTACAGAAGTGAAATGGAATACTGTTGCCTGGAGGCATGTGCCCCCACACTCGCTACTCCCAGTACTCCTATTTACATTATTATATCTACATTCAATATTGCACATGAGTGAGCATTTACATCAAACAATTTCTAAAAATAATAGAAGGTTTAACAAGTTATAACTGTTTGAAAGTGTGACTGAGGCATTAGTAATTCGATCGGTTTAGTGTCGGTTTAGCGGTGTGACTGTGGTTATAGGAAGTACAGCTTCCTTCCAAAAAGGGGCCAGTTAGACGTTGTTATGAATATCGTATTTTGTTTACAGTTGTAGTAAACAAAACTCAATAATAGTTATAGTTTTTGGTAAGAAACTTTAAACAGTGTCTCATTGAAGATCTAGGTATACATGGTGTTTGGGTATCACTGGATAAAATGGGAGAAATCTAAGATTTTCGTCCAATATTGCAATAAGGAATGCCTTAAATTACATATCCTTTAGGAAGGGGGACGCTTGATGCGAAGGGGATAAATGGATACCATTAACGATTACAATTACTGTGATCTTGCCAAATCATACACCTTTCTGCCTCTCGCCCCCCTCCCCCTCTTCCCCATATCCCCTCGCCCCCCTCTCTCTCTCTCTCTCTCTCTCTTTCTGTTTCTCTCTCGTTCTCTCTCTCTCTTCAACCCTACCTCACTCGATAATGGGAAAACGTTGTATGGTCAGTTATTGAAAGATTCTGAAATATAGCAAAAGGCGGAAAAAATAGTAATGACGGAGGCTTTCAATCCACATCTCTTCAAATCTCCCGATTTAAACTATTCTAAGGAAAATATACATTACTTACAAAAAGCATTTTCATGACAATTTTTTGATTTAAGGCTCTGCTCACAATTACGGTATGAGTTCTTGATCCCCGTTTCAAGCGGAATACTAGAAGTAGGTCACTAATCGCCTGACATAGATATCAAATGTTACTCGTATGATTCATATTGTCGGAAGACTTTCTCCTCCTCTCGGCTTGGATAATAATTCTTTTCTGTAATTTTCAAAGAGGGGCGTTTCAAGTAATCCGATATCCCTATCCCCCTCGCTGTAACTGACATAATATTTCAAGCATAATCCTGGCAGTAAGTCAGTTATCGGTTGATACGTATATATATATATATATATATATATATATATATATATATACATATATTAGTCATCTGATTTATGTATTGCCCGTTCGCAATATCGTCAGAATACTTTGTATTCCTCCCCGTCAATTCTTTTAATAATCTTCGAAAAGGGGCACTTCAAGGGAATGATATAATACAATTTGAGATCACCCCCTTTCTCTCTCTCTCTCTCTCTCTCTCTCTATCTCTATCTTTCTCTCTCTCTATCTGTGTCTTTCTTTCCCTTGTGCTGATCCCCCCTCTCTCTCTCTCTCTCTTTTCCCCTCTCTCTGTCTCTTTCCAATTTCCTCCTCCTAAACTTTTGATATATAGAATTATGAATGGACAGAGAGGATATGTCAGGAAAAGTTATGTGGGCATAACTTTTTGTCGGATGTTGGCAAAAGGTTGTCAAACTAACCCAAAGAAATGGCTCATTGTTCTGGAATTCTTCCATTATAAAAAAATATATAATCGCAATACTCTATAGGAATGACAATATTTTACAAGATATAAAGAATGTGAATACAATATAAAATAGATAAATGAAAAAATCCGACTGGAGATTCTGGAGACTGAAGTTCTTGATATTTCTACTGTAATGATATCATCATTTAAAATGACTCTTAAATGACTACTGACAGATCTTGTTAACATCGGCAAATCATGCATCACGATATCTTAATTTCTGCTACGATGTAAAGAAGGTTACCCCCAAATAATGAATATGAATTGAATTCTCAGTCTGTTAACTATAAGCTTACACCGCGGAAATGTACTTATTTTGAGAAGGGCAGACCATCCGGCCAGCAATGAGTCACACTACCCCCAAACTCTCTCCGCGATTCCCACAGTCATGGCCCAGGCACACCGCCAAGCCGATTCGGAACCGACTCTAAACTGATCGTTTTTTTTCATTCTGGGAAGTGTAAATTGGTCATTCGGTTTATTATCGGTATCGAAGGTGTGACCGGGCTGTCAGTATTTTTTTAAAAAGTAATAAAGTGCAACTGAAGGAGAAGAGGGATACGGGAAAAACATTGGGAGAGAGAGAGA